CCATAAACTGTCCTCCTCCACAAAATACCAAAATACAGTTTGTCAAAGTATTTATGAAACAATGGAGAGTTAAAGAAGGTTTTTTTCTTCCTGAAGGGAACCACTGCCAGCTTTATTAACTTTGACCTTCATGTAACTTTTCATATAAAAAGTTGTGTTGAGCATGTACAAAAAGTAACTCACACAGCACTTCACAACTTTGAACTAACTAAAGTACGAGGTATTTTTATTCAGCTGAGCCTATAAAACAGATCCAAGCTCATAAATGTAAATCACTTTAACCAGCCACTTCAGAGAACTCATAGCCAGATTTTTAATAGTAGTGTGTCACTGGATCATATTTTCACAATCAGATTTAATTCTGAAACAAACTTTTGTTCAACTGCTTAAAAAAATGAGACTTATCCCAAAAGAGAAATGCAGTATCTCAAGAGCACCCACTTTTTCCCATCTAAATTGGAAATGCACTTAGAAAAGATATTTCTTTACAAGCCAGACTCGAGTCTCCCAGCCCTGAATTTGGTATTTCAAGTTCAGCCACAGGGCCAAGAAAACGTGGTGGGTCAGAACAGAGCACGCCATGGGGCTGTGTGAGCCAAGGGATCGCTGCTGCTTCAGTCTCTGGGTTTATTACCTGATTATCAATCTTGATGCACCATTAAAAGTCTATCCTAGAGAGCTGATCAGCTGAAAATAATCTGCCAATTAACCACGACATAATTACACCACTCAAATGAGAGCAAAGTCCTCAGAACACAACCAGAATCGAAGTGAGGTGTTTCAGCTGCCTGGAGCTCCGATGGCACTGAGCTGAATTTCAGCTCAGCAGCTTCAGAAAGTCTTGTTAAAAACGCAGCTGAAGCCAAAATAAGAATTCTCACTTTTAAAAAAAACTATTCTTGAGTAGGAAAGCTGGTGCTGAGCACCACGGCCAGTCCAGGAGGATGACATGGGGCCTCAAGCAGATCCCAGAACAAAAACCTTTGCTGGAGGAGGACAAGCCAGAGGGAACCAATTCTAACAGACATAACTCAGTTACCAAAACAATTCAGGGTACAGTTTCACACCATCCTCACCATCGTGACTTCTTCTCTTCATATTTGAAGGCAAACTGTGCAGTTACAAAGCTACAAAGTGAGCAAGTTTTGTGACGTTACAGGTGAAGATAAAACACACACAAAACAACGAGGCTGGGTCTGCTGACATCCACTTTAAACCTGTTTCTTACACTTTCATGTCAGGAGGGATTACCACATGTGTGCTTGTCTTTGCATCTCAATGCAGGATTTTGTTATTTGATTTTTAAACTCCTCCTGTGATCTCAGGAGATTGCACCAAACCAAGAACCCTACAATTATTTTGTGACTGTTCAGTATAACCAATCACTATGTTTGACACAAAGCATCCACAATTTCCACTGCTGCCCTGTGCAATGGGGGACAGGCCAAAAAAAGGGGGGGAAAAAAATCAATGTATCAACCTGTACTCTGAGTTTTTGAGTTTTTTTCAGCCCTGGCACATGCTGTAAATGCAGCAGCAGCTTTACCACAACCCAGCTGCATCTCACCCCTAAATAAAGGCATTAAATCCTCAGTTCCTACCCAGCTCAATCCTGAACACGAAGAAACATCTTTCCTGGGATATGATGTGTGAAGAGGGCTGCTTGGAAATAGAGCACATGTTAAAATCAGCCCCTCATCTCCCAGCTCCTGAGCTGGGTGGCAGGACAGGACTCTGTGTTTGCCCCTCTGCTCCTGGCAGAACTGCAGCATTAATGCTGCCAGCAGGGCATGACAGCTACTCGAGCAGCACTGAATTAAAGAAAAAAAAGGGATTCAGAGGTTCAGTTTACCTAGAAAACAGATTCTGCATTTGAAGATTTGGAGAGAGGTTCCCTTTGCCCATAAAGCATCCCAGGTATGTGCTCCCAGCTGAGAGCAGGGACACTGGCAGGGCAGAGCAAAACTCGCTCTGTGCCAGACAGGCCTCTGTGAACAGCAAAAAGTGGCACCTACTGACCTGCCAGCCCCAAAGTGACTCCTCAGCAGTGCAAAACACAGCCAGGAAATGTCCCAACCACCCCCTCGAAGCCAGCTCGTGGGCTGGGGACGGGGACAGAGACGATGACACCGAGGTTTCCCACCCAACTGCCCACGCAGGACAGCGCAGAGGTGACCACACAAAACCCCGGGAGGAGCTTTCTCCCCACGGCCCAGGGCAGGAAATGAAACCCAAACAAACAGATTCTTCGTGCAGGGGAGGACGTGAGGAGCCTCAAAGCACCCCTGAGCCCGCGAGGCTCAGCTGTTTGTGCAGGACGAGGAACCCCAGCGGGCCAATCGCACCCTGGAGCCGCTGTAAATGAAGAAGTGTTTGTGGCCGCCTCTCCTCGCACAGGAACTGGAAGCGGGGGCAGCGTTTTACCGAGCCACTTGAACCAGGGTGATCTAAACCCACCCCAAAATGAGTCCCTCCCAGTTCCCAGTAGCTGTTCCTCTGTCAGCAGCGACTCGAGGAGTGTGTGCGTGATTTATCAGTTTACACAGTTACTGTGCCACTCAAAGGCAGCAGGAAGTGACTGGGGAGCCCCAGGAACTGCCCGCAGGGAGGAATTCAGACACAGCCACTTTCTCAGCTCAGTGTGGAATTCCCAGCAGGGTATTCTGCTGCACTTTGGATGGCTAAAGCTTAGATGTTCTCGACATTAAAATCCCTGTACCCCCTCAACCACTAAAACCTCACCTGTCTGTGCAGAGTTAGGGGTACACCACTTCCTTGCAAGTTTTCCAAAACTCTGACTTTCCAGTAAGTAATGAGACACCAACCTGACAATTCTGCTGCTGGTTTTAAAAAGCTACAATAAAACCCAGCCTGGCAAACTTTGACTCGCTGATAACACTGGGAAGTACAGCAGAGGAATTGCTCAGGCAGGATTTCCAACCTGTGCTCCCGCCAGCAGAAATACCGCAGTAAATACCCATTTTATCCACAAGTGACTGCTGAGCACGATCACTGATAACTGGCACAAATTAAAAAATAAATAGAAAAAAGAAAGGAGGTATCAGGGAGCGGACAGGCTGCTATCAGCACCAGCAGCTGCTCTGCCAGCCTGGTGCGGAACCCTCCGGCCTGGCCTCGCCCCTGGCACCAGGAGGGGTGTCCGGGGTCGTGTCCGTGGTCAGGGAGCCGGTGCCGAGGGCAGACCCGCCCCGGGGGGTTCCCCCGGCCCCGCAACCCCCGGCGGGCAGGCGGATCCCTGAGCTCAGCCCCACCCTGGGAGTGCCCAAGGCCAGGCTGGACGGCGCCCGGAGCAACCCGGGCTCGGGGAAGGTGTCCCTGCCCGTGGCGGAACGGGCTGGTCCGTAAGGGCTCCCCTGCCTCGGTGCTCCCCGGCGGTCTCACCTCCTCGCTCTCGCCGCGGTTGCCGGCCGCCAGCCGGGACACGTTCTCCAGCACCTCGCAGAACTGCTCCAGGCTCACGGCCTCCTCCCCGCGGCTCAGCCGCTCCTCCAGCCACCGCACCAGCGAGCTGTGGTGCCGCGACACGAGCGGCTCGGGCAGGGCCGCGTCCCGCAGCCGCGCCGTGGCCTCCCGCAGCCGGGCCTGCTCCAGCAGCACCTCGGCCGGCGGCAGCGCCGGGGCGGCCGCGCCGGGCTGGGGCGCGCCGCCCGCCGGCCCCTCCATGCCTTCCTCGGCGCCGTCCTCCTCCTCCTCGCTGCTGTGGCTCGCCGCCGTCCCCATGAGGCGCTCGGAGCCGCCGCCGCCGCCGCCCGGCCCGGCCCGGCCCGCCTTACTCAGCAACTTCCCGCCCGCAGCACCTGTCAGCGCGGGCCGCCGCAACGCCGCAAAGCGCGCCGGGACACAACGCCGCGCCGCGCCACACCGCCGCAAAGCGCGGCAGAGGGAGTCGTAAAGCTCCGCCCCCAGCCCCACCCCTGACCGTGACGTAAGAGGGGAGGAGGAGGAGATGGAAAAGAAGGAAAAGGAGGAGAAGGATAAGAAGGAGGAGAAGGGAAGGAGGAAGAGGAGAAGGAGATGGAGAGGAGAAGGGGAGGAGATGGAGAAGATCGAGAAGATCGAGATGGAAAAGGAGAAGGAAAAGGAGAAGGAAAAGGAGGAGAAGGATAAGAAGGAGAAAAGGAGAAGTAGATGGAGATGGAGAAGGGGAGAAGGAGATGAAAAAGGAGAAGGAGATGAAAAAGGAGAAGGAGATGGAGAAGGAGGAGGAGATGGAGAAGGAAAAGGAGGAGATCAAGATGGAAAAGGAGGAGAAGGATAAGAAGGAGAAAAGGAGAAGTAGATGGAGAAGGAGAGAAGGAGATGGAGAAGGAAGAGATGGAGGAGGAGAAGGAGAAAAGGAGAAGTAGATAGAGATGAAGAAGGGGAGAAGGAGGAGATGGAGAAAAGGAGAAGTAGATGGAGATGAAGAAGGGGAGAAGGAGGAGATGGAGAAAAGGAGAAGTAGATGGAGATGAAGAAGGGGAGAAGGGGAGAGGGAGATGGAGAAGGAGGAGGAGATGGAGAAGGAAAAGGAGGAGATCAAGATGGAAAAGGAAAAGGAGGAGAAGGATAAGAAGGAGAAAAGGAGAAGTAGATAGAGATGGGGAAGGGGAGAAGGAGAAGATGGAGAAGGAGATGGAGAAGGAGGGAAGGAGAAGGAGAAGTAAGAGAAGGAGCGGCTGCAGCGGATCCATCGCAGGGAATAGGGAGGATTTGGGCTTGGAATGGCGTGCTCTGATGGGGAGAGCCTGCGCCTGGAGAACAGAACACTGAGAGGGGGTCTCCTTAATCCCCATGCTCCCACACTCCGCTCAAAGACAGGACAAGGAGCAGCCACCCTAAACCAAACCACAACAAGCTCCACCTCCACGTGACGATGGCAGAGCCTCCTCCCTCTTCTGGCCACGTCCCAACCCACCCTGGGCGAGGTCCGGGAGCACGCCGAGATCCCTCCCACCGCATCCCGTCACGCCGCGGTTCCGTAAGAGCGGTCGGCGGGGATGTGGCGGGCCTGGAACCCGCGGGGCTCGAACCCGCGGCCCCGGAGGCAGGAGGCGCCCAGGCACAGCAGCGCCGCGGCCGCGGCGCTGCTGTGCCTGGGCGCCGCCTGCCTCCGGGGCCGCGGGTTCGAGCCCCGCCGCCGCCTGCTCGGAGCCGCCGAGCTGAGCCGCTACCGGGGCGCTCCCGGGGATCCCGGGCTCTACCTCGCCGTGCTCGGGAGGGTTTTTGACGTGCAGAGAGGCCGCCGACACTACGGGCCGGGCGGGGCTTACAGCGCGCTCGCAGGTAGGTGGGGCTGGGGAGGGTGATGGGGGCTTGGCTGAGGGAGGAGGTTGGTGGGGGGTGTGAGGGATTCACCCCCTGGCTGAGGGAGGAGGTTGGGGGGTGGTCTGAGGGATTCACCCCCTGGCTGAGGGAGGAGGTTGGAGGGTGGTCTGAGGGATTCACCCCCTGGTGAGGGAGGTTCCCCCTTTGGTTGAGGGGGATTTCACCCCCATCTTGGCTGGGGGTTCATTCCCTGGAAGAGGAATTGGGATCTCACCCCTGGCTGGGGAGTTCACTCCCAGGCTGGGGAATTCAGCCCCCGGCAAAGGAGTTCACTCCATGGCTGGGGAACAGGGTCAGACCCCTGGCTGAGGGTTTTGCTCCACGACTGAGGGATTCACCTCCTGCCTTGGGGGATTGGCTCCCATGTCGGGAGTTTCATCCCCTTAGCAAAAGGAATTCATTCCGTGGCTTGGGAATTGGGGTCTCACACCCTGGTGTGGGAATTCACTCCCTTGGCTGGGGGATTCACTCCACGACTGGAAACTCACTCCGTGGCTGGGGGATTCATTCCACGACTGGGGACTCACCCCCTGGCACAGGAATTTGCTTCCAGTCTGGGGTCTCACTCCCTCTCTGGGGGTCTCACCCCACAGGCAGAGATGCCACCAGAGCGTTTGCCACGGGCGACTTCAGCGAGTCCGGGCTGGTGGACGATGTGTCGGCGCTGTCCCCGCAGGAGCTGCTCTCCATCCAGGGCTGGCTGAGCTTCTACAGAGAACACTACGAGCCCGTGGGTAGGTGGTAGGACGGGGGGGGCTCACGGGGACACACAGGGGATGGGGAGAAAGTTGGAAGGCTGGGGACAAAATACCAGGTTTCATCTCTGGGGCATCACCTTGGGGAGGGTTTCTCTGTGCTGCAGACCCCGAGCCCTCCGAGTGCCTGGCACACCCAGGTTTAGGTCTGCTTCCCTCTGAGGTGAAGCTGAACAGTTTTCCCACCTGGGCTGTCAGCTCTGCCCTGCTTTTCCTGAGCCAAAGGCATGGAGCCAGCCTGCAATCAGCAGGACTTGGGAGACTGCAGGAACAGCAGTGCAGGGAAACTGTTTTGGGGAAAGAGGTGCATGGGTGGGTTCTGCAGCTGGAAGTGGCTTTGGTTTCTGGTCTTTAATGCCTGTGCCTGAGCTTGTCCTGTGTGGATTTATTAATATGGGTAAATTGCTGGGTGATCCAAGAGTTGCTTGAAGGGATGTAAGCTCAGTTCAGTTCTAAAATTGGGCCGTGGTGACATCCTCCTTTTTTTCTGCCTTCACATAACAAATTACACATAAAAAGTCACCAGGACTGTGCATTTTCTCTGCATGGAAACACTGTGATCTTAATTGATCTTCTCTCCCAGGGAAGCTGGTGGGCAGGTTCTACGATGAGAACGGGGCACCCACGGAAGCCCTGAGGGAGGCTGAGGCTGCCATTGAGGAAGCTCTGAAATTCCAGGCAGAAAGTGAGCAGAGGAAGCAGCAGTTCCCACCCTGCAACTCTGAGTGGAGCTCTGCCAAGGGCACCCGCTTCTGGTGCTCCACAGAGAGGTAAACTGCCTTCCCACATCGTGGGTCCTTTGGGGCAGAGCATTTCTGCCCCCTTTTGAGTGCCATGCACTGTGTCATTGCTCCCCTGGTGGGAGCCCGACCCCCTCCTCCTGTCAGGGAGTTGCAGAGAGTGAGAAGGTCCCCCCTGAGCCTCCTTTTCTCCTCTTCTCTCACACTGGAATCAAAATCAGGCTTCAGAATTTGCCACATGTTCTCAGGAAAACAGGACAAAATCCCCAGTAGGACTGGCACTGGAGCAGGTTCTCTCCCCTCTCAGGAATACAAGCATGAAGTTGTGTTTTTGACACAGTTTCACAGCCTGTCTGACAGGCTGCTGCCACAACAGTTTTCACTTAAACCACATAAAAATGAGGTTGAGCTTTGAACAGTCATTTCCTACCTACTTTCCTACTTACTTGTGTTCTGCTCTCCGTTTGGGGACTGTTTTGTTTGAAGATTAAATCATTTCACAGCCCACACTGCAGAGTGGTCGGGCTTCACATCAGTCCCCCGCAGCTCTGGGGACCTTGGGGACCTGCCCCTCTGTGTGACTGAGCGTGGGGGCAGCCTTGGGACAGGTTCCCAGCTTTAAAAGCTGCTGTGCCTGGGGGAACAGGCACGATTGGGCCTAGAAGGAGTCACTTAAAGGTGTAGAGACACCATGAATTGGCTGGGGAACTACTTGAAACTTTTTCCTTCTGCCCTGGGTCTCCAAATCAGTGTGTTCAGGGCAGGCACAGAAGGCCTTGAGCAGCCTGGTTTGGTGGAAGGTGTCCCTGCTCGTGGCAGGGGGTGGATTGGATGATCTTTACGGTCCCTTCCACCCAAAAGATGACGTGTGGTCACCTGCGAGCAATGAGGTGCCTCCAGAACAGGCATTTTGCTGTGTTCCAATTCCAGTGATTCCTTTTCCAGCAGTGGCAATGTGGGACACAGAAGTTGGTCACTCCCACAAGGGTGACAGTGTGTAGCAGCAGTGATGAAACCAGGTTGAGGCCTGGGGTTTCTGAAGCACAGCCAGTGAAAAGGTATCACAGAGCTGTGGGGTGGGGGCTGCTGGGAGCAAAGTCAACCTCAGTGGGGTGTATTGTTAGTTCTAATTCCCCCAGATTGCTTTGTGTGTTTTTTTTTCTAATGATCTTCTGTGCACTGGAAGCATTTCCATGGGTGTGAGTTGTAATTTATTTTCCTTTTGCCTTGCCAGTGGGGGCGTGAGCAGAGGCTGGGCCGGAGTCCCTCGCAGGCTGTACCGCCCTGGCTCCAGGGGCAGTGGCTGTGTGTGTGTGAGGAGCACAGGGCCCCCCTGGGGCCACCCCCCCTCCTCCCAGCACAGCGACAGGGGGGACCTGGATAACCCTCACCTGCAGGAGTACCAGGGCTGCCCTCCCCTGGCCGAGCAGTGTGTGCTCCCAGGCTGATTCCAGCTGCTGCATTCCAGGGGGAATCCTGCAGGGAACATGGCACTGTGGGGGGGATGCAGCTCCAGCTCCACTCCTTCCACCTGTCTGTGCCAATAGCAATTCCATGTTATTTGTGATGCTTTCTAACCTGTGGAGATGGAGGTGAGGGAGGGGGGAAACACTTTAGCCCAGTTAGTGGCTGCAAAATCAGTAACAGAGTATTTCTGTGGTGTTTTTACAACTGCAAGATGCACAGCCTGAACTCTATTTAAAACCTGCTTTCTTGTGCAGCCAGGAAAGAGATGTTTGGTGTGCTCAGTGAGCACAGAGCTGCTGCAGCATCACTGACCTCAGCTCCTGCACCGTCCTCAGGCCCTGCTGCATTTCTGTGCTGATGCTCCTCCCCAGGCACCCGATTCACTCCAGAGGGTTTAAAGGTAGCAGGGAGAAGCCTGAATGTGTCCTACAATGAGGGGACAGTATCTGGGAGCTTGTGCAGTTGGGCTACACACAACCTTTATCAGTGTCTTGGAGTACAGAAGGCAAAGGCCAGAGCTGGCTTTGCTCATTCAGTGTTTGCATTAGACAGTGGAAGCCACCTATGAGGGTTGTTGGTTTATATTAACCTCCCCCTCCTGCTCTGTGATTCACCACTTTCAAACTCTTCAGATCAGGAATGAGTAGTTTTAAATAGCTTTTGTTACTGCCTGTGTGGCAACGCAACCATCCAATAATCTGCCTCCTCTTTCCATTCTGGTCTGTGGCATCCTCCCATCTGCTCTGTGCCCATCAGGCTGAGCTGGATGTGCCCATCACAAGGCCCAATTCCCTTAAAATCCGTGGCAAAATTCAGTATTACGAGTGATTCTTAGAAGAGCAGGGCAGGTCCTTACCACTTTTCTGCTGAGAAGGGCAAATGAACACCTGCACAGGGCCCAGGCACTCTGAACCCCGGGCTGCAGGGAAGCAGGTGCTGCTTTTTGTAGAATCTGCTGTTAAAATCAGTTCCTGGTGTAGCTGAGCCTCGAGAGTCCAGCAGAGCAGTCTGTGCTGAGCTGTGGTCAGCTCTTTGCCTTAGGGCAGCTGCCACCTATTTAAAACACGTGTTTGGAACTTCATTTTTAGCTACTGCCACCTCCAAAGAGAGACCCCAGAGCTAAATGATCAATTAATTAGCAAGCTTACAGGAGGCTGGGCAGCAATTAATTCACAGTAACAGTAATCACTCCCTGGCTGCAGGACTTTTAACAGCCCTTCTCACTGATAAAGCTCAGATGATGCTACAGCTGCCACGGATGGAGCCACAGAGCAACTTAAACGTGTAAATGCTTGTAAGAGAAAGCAAGTGAAGGTGGACAGCTCTAACTTCCAAGCAAGTCTGATCTTGCTGTAACACTCCAGCACTGCACAAACAGTGCTGAGGGGATGGATGGTTGTGATTGCAGGAGCTACACCAAAATCAACTCAACTGCTGCAGGAAGGCAGGGCAGGAGGATGTTGCTTTAAGGTAAAGTTGGTTGAAAACCAATTCACAGTTTATTTCTCAGTTTAGTGTTCAGAGTCACGGGGTGGGGGAAGTTTGTCTTGCACTGGGAATAAGTCATCTATTAAAGCAAACAGGGAGACACCCTCAGTGACCTGAGGTGCTCCAGGCCTGGGGGAGCTGGACTGTTTCACTGATTGCAGATCAGTCTGGTATAGGGCATTCACATCTTGCCAGCCAAAAGAAAGTGCAGCAGTTCCACGTGAACACCTGGAATAATTTCAGAACAAAGAATAAAAGTTGTCATGCCCAAGTGGATGCTGTATCCCTGGTTTTCCTTGTGGTTTGGAGGGATGGCTGGCAGAGGGGCAGCTCTCCCCAGGAGCAGATGTGTCCTTAGCAAGGTTTCACCTCAGGATGCATCGTCTAGTTCTGCATTTTATTACAAGTAGAATCATTACACAACAAAGTAATGCATATTGGAAAAATACATTTTTACACTGACTCCAGACAAACATTGCAGATAAAATGCCATTGTTCTAAGACTTCCTTTTCTATTTCACAGAGGGTATTAGAAGGTTCAGAGTTACTTCTGTCACTCATACAAGCTTTGATTTTTCTAGAGACAAGTTTGCTGCAGTGCCCACCTCTGCTGGTTACAGACAAGAGAGGACTTGCCTATTAACATTTGATCTACACAACAATCCAGCCTTGGCCTCCCACACTGTTCCATGTTAGTTTAGAAGCACTACTGAGCAGTTGTACAAGCTGTTAATCTCCAGCACAGGAAGTCATTAAGGCAGGTCAGCTTTTAGCCAGCAACTCTGCAGTACCTTCAACACCGACCTTCTCACTCCACTCAGTGGTGTGAAAGGGTGACTGCGCCTCTCACAGAGACACAACATCTCAGCCAGACCACGGTTTGTGCTTGTGTAAGAGTGCTGGGTGGCTGCAGTCAAAAGGAATCCAGTCTCAGAACAAAAAGCTACAGCAACTGAAGCACCCGACTGCCCAGGCAGCCCAGCCCACGTGCCTGGAGCCTGGGGTGGCAGCAGCGCTTCCCAGGACACCCCTTTGCCTTCCATTTACCCTTTTGTTCAAGGCTGGGCAGACTTCAAATTAATAGAAACCACTAAGAGACAGCAGGGGGAGGGGGTGGGGGTTTGGTCACCACTGTGTTAATGCTACAAAAAGGGAGGAGCAGTTTTTAGAGCTGGAAATGTGTTGACCCCACGTGCCTGGCTCCCATCTGTGCCCTGCAGGGGAGCATTGCCAGCAATGTCCCAGGAGTGCCAGAGGCCTGAGAGCTCAGACAGAGCTGGGCAGAGTGTGAGGGGCTCAGTCCCACCACACCACTTGTTGGGTGGATCAACCTCCTCAGCTGAACTAGGAAAGAACTGACTTGGGTTTTGGTTCAAGCTGTGAGCTTTTCCCCTTTAGCTCTGGCAGAAAGCTGTTCAGAGTTGGCTGGAAGGAAACTATCTCAAAGGCACTTTAAAATGATCAAATTTGCTGAATTTAGTTGCTTTAATGAACTCTTCAGACTGTACATTTATCAATAACCTTAACTTTCAGACTTCAGAAAGAAAGCTGGGACAGCACTGGCTGTACACAGCAAACCAGGAGCGCTACAGATGGTTTCCCAAATCTTTCCCAGAGTTTTACACAGTTTTAATTAATATTCTACTTTCCAAAAGAGTAACTAGCCAGCCTTAAACTTGCCATTCAGTTGAGTTTTCACCAGATCCACATTTTTCCATCAGTTAAAAGCTTATTCTGTTAGAGCTGAGCTCCCTGTTCCCTTTGCCCCTTGCAGAGAAGTCACTGAAAGAGTGATGTTCCAGTGCAGTTGTGCAGTTTTCCAGTTGAGTTGAAGTCCCCAGGCTGTGGCCTTGGAAAACCACTCCTCTGCCAGTGTCTGGAAGCGTTCTGAGCACACATTTACCCTCCCCAGCACCGCAGTCACCGTGTTCCCATGGGACACTCTACAGTCAGGAGTCTTTCACAAATGCACTCTCTCCATCATTAACTTTCACTGCTACAGACGTAGAGCCACTGACACCCTGAAACATCAGAAAGCAATGGACTAAAAGTACAATGTTTGCCATCACCTATTTCACTCAAAGAACCCAGACTTGCTGTTGACTGACATTATTAGTTCTGTCACCAGCATTAACTGACACCACTGTTTCCCCACATTCACCTACAATGCTACACCAGAGATGCACCCTTTGGATCAGGAACTGTGTTAAGAGCCCAGCTGTGTCACCCAGGGCATTCTGCTGGAACAGGACAGCAGCAGCCATCAAACACTGAGGGAGACTTGTATTGTCATCCATTATTCCTCCCGGTGTTACAGGGGTGATTCCAGTTACAACGTGTGCATCTTGGGAGATCAAAGTGCAGATCAAGTGAGACTTGACGTGAATTCATTGTGCAAACATCAGCAGTTACACCCTCTGCTATCCTCTCCTTGTACAAGTTTGAGAAAAACCTCAAGCAAGTCTCCCCTGCAGCAGCAGTCTGGTTTATCATCTGGCCTGGTTTATCATCTCATCTGACTCTCAAAGACTGACAAGTCACTATTCCAAACAGGGCAACGTGTCACCAAGTGTCCCTGTGTTCACTGGAGATAACAGTCATTAAATCAGTGCACACCAGTTCATGGAGCACAGGTGAGGAATGCTGAGCTGAGTCTAAACTAGGTTCATCTCTTGGGATAAAAAGAGCCTTGGCATGGCATGGACTTTTGCTCACGTACCCATTTTTCCTAACTGAAGCCTCTGCCCACCAAATCACAACTTGGTCTACCAGCAAAGTCCTTTCCTGTTTACCTGCACAACGTGGTGCTGGGTTTTCCCAGACAACCATTGTTTAATAGAGCATGCCCAGCCTAGATTAGAACACTGCAGCTTTCTCCTAACAGGAAGCCTCCAGGTGCACTCCCACTGACCAACCACCCTGCTGAACACGGCCCCAAATGTAGTGTCTGGAGTGCAGCCCAGTGCACACTGGCAGGGCTCACAGCAGGCCCTGGGAACCCAGGGAGTGCTGCTGTCCCTCCTGGGTTCCTAATGCACTTCAGCATTTATTGCTGTGCTGAGTCTGCTGGCCCAGGTTTAGTGTTCCTCCTTCAGCAAACTCAGCCACTGACACGAGTTCCCTGGACTGGAAGGACCAGCGACGTGAAAAGGAAAGTGCAACGAGGACCGACGGTTCTAGCAGGGATGAGCAAGAGCATTTACTGCCTCAAACAATCCTGCACTTCTCCTGAACATGCTAAAGCTGATGAGACTTTGCTGAGGAGGTATCAAGATGTGGGTCTGCAATTCTGACTGCTCTGCATCAGATGGTGTAAAGCTTTCTGTTGTAAGGCCACAATTCTGGAGCTCTACTTAGAACTACCCTGGGTGTGAAGAGTTTCTTGAAATGAACAGTGGTTGCAATAGCTCAGTTTAGCTTCACAAGAAGTCTTCTCTAGAGAAGGGGAACGTTTATCTTTAAGACAAAGCAAAGGAAGATAACCTGGTTACCCTGAAACTTAATGCCATCTCTACTAAGCAGCCTGAAAGCCACAGGACTTAATAGAGTTGCTCAGTGCAAAGCACCATGTCAAGGACACACCTGTTTTGCATCGATTCAGTCTCCAGTTCAGCTTCCATACCCCACTGCAACTAGAAGAGGGTCTAAGTTCTTTTGTCACTTGGTTGCCACGATCCACTCAAATTCCTAGTGAAGTCTATCACAGCCTGATACATTTACAGTCATACAAAGTCATTTATACCAGAGTATATCATAACAGGGTCCTTAATTAGTTCAGTCTATTGCAGAAGACGTGTATAGGCCTCCTCTTCCCTATCCAGAGGGCTTGTAAGCAGAGCTGCTGTCAGGAGCACTGACTGGGAATCCCTTTCCTTCCACACCATACTAGGAGACTCCTCCCAGAGTCAGGACATCAAAGCAGATGTTGCAAACTCGGACTGGCTTGTTCAGATCAAATTTGATGATGGGAATCTCCTTTGTTGAGCACTTATGGCAGAGCAGGCGTCCACAGTGTCGGCTGTTGGCACAAGAGGGGTGGGGGAAAAGGGAGTTCACTCCTAATGAACACCAGGATTTTATCCTTTGACATTCTTTATCAGTGCTGTCATCACTACAAATGCTGTGTTTGTCTTGTATCTTCTGCTGTCTCTCATGGAAGAGTTTACTAACACCAGAACCACACGATGCTTCTGTGCTGGTCAGTCACTGGAACGACTTCAACTGATCCACCTGTGCTTTCTCTGGAACACTGGGCTAAGGAAATCTTAGCTTAACATCCCCCTAGCCCAGCATGTTTTGTGGAAGTTCAGTTAAAAAAGGCAACTCTTATCTACATAAGAGCAACTCATGTCAGCATTTTCAGCCCTCACAAACAGAACCCCAAAGCTGAGCTGGCAACACCTGCCCAAATGTGTCCCCTGTTTCAGGGCAGGTCAGCCCCACACAGGGCTGGTGTGCTCCCTCCTGCCTGTCCTGGATAGGGAACAGCCAGAGGGCTGGAACTTGGACAGGATTTCTCATTTACAACCAGTCAGAACATTAAATGCACAAACTGCTTAAGATAAGATTTTGGTCAGACCACAAGTTACTGATCTAAGACAGGGGGAATGTTTCAGCTGGATTAGTGGTTATACACCTGCATTAACATGGAGATTCCCTAAACCACCAGCAGGAACAAGAATAACCACATTTGGAAGAGGAATCTTTCCCTGTAAGCACAGCAAGATGGGTCACGTTACCAGTGATGTTTCCTTGTCGTGACTCCGAATTTGGCAGTGCACTCATAGCAGTTGGAGCCATCACACCAGGGAGGTTCTTTTGTCAGCATATCTGTTAGAGGCAAAGATGTAAAGACAAAATGGGCTCAGACACCTCTTGAGTTCACTAAACATATTAAGGAGGCTTTGTCCAGTTTTAGGTTGCAGCCACTATAATGGCTTGAACTACTTTTGCAGGCTTGTTCATAGGCAATGCAGAGTTGCTTTCAACATCATCACATTACCCACAGCAACTACACAGCAGCAGTTAAAAAGCACTGCCTGGGTTTTAAGCTACATCAGACTACACAACCAGCCAGGAGCTCCCATGTCTGTCCTTCCAGAGAAAGCACTATTTAATTCTGACAGGTCTGCACTGTACAGCTACTCAGCTGATCATGAGAAAAACGAGTATTTCTGCCCCCACTGAAAGTAGTATAAAATTCTCAAGATCAGCCATCTAAGTGAGGTGTCCAGAGTTCTTTCCTTCACTGAAGTGTCCCAGCAGCATGAGCTAAACACACTTTCCTACTGCAGCCAGTGGAACTCACCCAGCAGCCTGAAGAGCAGCTGTTTTGTAGCAACTTGGTAGTTGAAGATGTTGACTCCCTGGTTGTTGTTGACCCCAAGCCGAGCCCCAGCTCTCACTATTGCACGACACAGGTTGGCATTTCCCTTCATGTAAGCCAAGAGCAGCACTGGAAAAGAAAAGGCAGTTCCCTGCTAGCAGAGTGGCAGGTTGTGGTACCCTCAGTGCAGAGCAGCATCTTCAGTTTTTAACTTTCTGTGTCATGTTTGCATCTTACTGTATTCAACATATTACTGCCAATCATTCCAGCTTTCAAAGTGACATGCCATGAATACAATTTGAGTGGTTTTCAAGTTCAACAGCTGTTGAGTGTCACCCACCTGTGTTTCCTTCAGCATCAGGTTTGTCTAGAGGGTACTCTGGCATACACTCCAAGAAGAGGTCACAGATGGCTGCTGCATTATCTTTCCCATATTGTCCCAAAATATGCATTGGTGACTGGCCTCTGGGGAAAAGAGTTTGTTATCCTGATCAAAGTCTGCTTGCTACTGCAGTTCCTCATCCAGCTCTCCTGGTTTTCGAGTTTGGTTCAGACTCAAACACCTCAGTAACTCAGTCCCACACACACAGAATACTCTGAGTGGGAAGGGACCCACAAGGACCATCAAGTCCAGCTCTTAAGTGAATGGTCCATACAGGGATCAACCCCACAAGCTTGGTGTTATTAGCAACATGCTCTAACCAACTGAGCTCATCTCAACTCAGCTTTCTTTTCCTGGTGTGTATATATAATTTCCACAGGATTTAGACCCAGCATCATCTGCCCACTTCACTCAAAGCTGTGTATAAATATTACAATACAAGCCAAGTCCTTGTTGTTTGATTTTTTAAACTGGCCATATAAGCATACATTTTACAATAGAATGTGGTTCCTTTATATAGTCTCCTTATAGTCTCAAGACTCTAAAGCATTACCTGATATTAAAGGCTTCTGCATCCACATTGCACTCTGTGAGGAGCACCCGGATGTTGTTCAGCCGCCCATGCATCACTGCCAGATGAAGAGCTGCAAAGTAAAACCAAGGTTCAACACTCTGAATGTCAGCAAGAATTACAGCCTAATAAATAACACACCCCCACCTTCCACTTCTCCCATCTCCCCTCTCAAAACCTCTGATTTCTTGGACCTTCATGCTGTTCCACCTCTGCAGAACCAGCCCGGTCAGTGAGCTCTCCCCACCACCAGGAGCCACCAGCACCAGATCTACTGAAGTGTTTGCACTGACATTTACCATTATTCCCATTTTCATCTACAGCTGCAAAGTCCACTCCATTCTCCAGAAGGACTGAGCAGATGGTGGGCAGGTCTTGCTGTGCTGCCAGGTGCAGGGCAGTCTGGCGGTGCTTGGTCAGCTCATTCACCTGGGCCCCTGCAAGCAGCTGTCAGGGTGCAAAAGGGACACGGTCAGCGATGGTTCCAGGGCTATTTCTTTGTTTTTGTGAATGAAGCACACAAGACTCCACTGCACAGAGACACTGCAGGGCCTCCAGCACATGTGAAATGCTGTCATTAGTGAGCTGCTGCAATGTGTGTTTGGGTTCCAACGTGCAGAAAGGGCAAGGGAAGGTTCTTCAGGTGAGTCACAGTGCCCAGGGACTGCTGCAAACCTGTGGGAAGGCCACTGAGCCAGCTCAGCAACAGCACAAACTAAGAGAGCTTTCTGTTTCAGAGCGAGTGGTGCCACCCTGAGGTGCCCTCTCCAGGTTACAGCACTGTGTGTTGGGCCACCCCGGGCGTTTTCCAGCAGAGGAAAAGCGACTCCAGCCCGTACCAGGTTGCGCACGATGATCTCGGAGCCAGCCTGCACTGCCAGGTGCAGAGGGGTCAGCTTGGAGGCATCCTGGACCCTGGAGTTCACATGAGCCTGGACACTGATCAGGAACAGCACGCTCTCGATGTCAGAGTTCTGAACAGCCACGTGCAGGAAATTCCGGCCTTTGTTATCGACCTGGGGCAGACAGGGCAGGTGACATGAAACCCATTATTGCTGGAGAACAAGGTGGTTATGTAGAAGGACATATTTTCACTAAGAGACACTTGCTCCATCTACTTGAACTGTAGAGTCTTGTTCCTTTCACTGGCTGACATGAGAGACTTATCTGTTAATCACATCTAGCAGGTGATTTCTCAGTTTGTTATCTGCTGCAACTGCTCACTCAAGCCTGCTGCAGACTGCTTTATTTCTGCTTTCTAACCTTGGCATGGCTTGACCACACACTGGAGAGGATTGTTAGACAGGCAAACGGTTAATGGCTGTTGTAGTGAAGCACTGAGAGCAGTTAATGATAAATTCAGTTAAATGAAACAAGCTAGAGTCAATCTGGCAGCTAATGCAGGAGAAGGAAGCAACATGCAATCCTGCCACACTGATGCAAAGGGCACTCACAGAACCATGGAATGGTTTGGGTTGGAAGGGCCCATCCAGTTCCAACCCCCCTGCCATGAGCAGGGACATTTCCACTAGCCCAGGTTGCTCCAAGCCCCATCCAACCTGGCCCTGGACACTTCCAGGGATGGGGCAGCCACAGCTTCTCTGGGCAACCTGAGAATTCCTTCTGGCTTAACACCAAGCACATGTTGTTCAACTTTGCCTTGAAGCTGATGTTAAAGCATATTCAGAACTACTTGTATTTATAACTATGTTTTAGATATATTACAAGAGCTCACTAAGCACTGAAATACTTTACTAGTAATTAAACTTACAGAGGGTAGGAAGAATCTCCTGAACAGCTGCCTGAAGTGTCACACCAGAAGCCTGAAGATACAGTTGGAGATTTTATAGTTCAGCAGGGCAGCATTAGCATCTATTTTTCAGCTATTTTAGGTCAGCTTTTCTGTTTTGGATAGCTTTAGGAGAGCTGGGTAATAGATTATTTCTGTACTAGTCCAGCACAAGACAAGAGCAGAGTTAGAATGTTCTCCTTATATACACACATGGCTGCTCCTCAGTTTAGCACTGACAAGATAAGGTTTGACAAGACACTAAACCTTCATGTTCTTACTCACACACAGGACACACCCCCTCAGGTTCCTAATAAATCCTCCACCAGGCAATCTGGCAAACGGATTGCATGTACAGACACAAGGATGGAGCACAACTGGGCTGTGGAACCACTGTTACCACAAAGCAGGGCAGTAACGAGACCACCACGGTTTGCACGCTCCCAGCTTACCTGTTCAGCAGCTCCTGGTTCCCTCTTCAGGATCGCTTCAGCTGCTTTATTGTTTTTGTACGTCATGGCACAAGCAAAGGGAGTCATTCCCTGCCTGTCACGGACATTCAGCTTGATATCAGGATGGGAAATCATCAGCTGAATGATAACATTATGCTGGTTGCTAATGGCAACGTGGATTGGAGTTCTTCCTTCTGCATCCTAGAAGGAAAGCAGTAAGTTTCTTACACGAAGATTCAGTCCCAGCCCAACCCTTCCCTAATTCTGAAGGGTCAAGCAAAGCTGGCAGTGCAGTTCTGTGGCACACCAGGCTGCCTTCAGCAGGGACACCAGAGAGCTGCAGTGGGAGCTCAGACCCACAGTGCAAAGGGAAGCAAACTGGGATTTGTTTCTCCTGCCAGGTTGACCTCAATCCTGTGTTACAGAGCCGTGGAAGTGGCTCAGTGTGACATCTCCCACACAGTCATCTGGGGGCAGAGATGAGCACTCAGATTCAATGGCAGATTCAACGGAGGTGTTTAATCCTTTGTCTGCATCAAGCAGCAGTTTGCAGCCATGTGACTGTGCTCTGTGATTCATTCTGATCTCACTTTCAACAGCATCAGGACCTAGAAATGTTCTCCATTCATTTCTTTTGTCCTTATTTGTCAAGGTTTTGTCTGAGGATTGCTGTGTAATCAACAGTGAAGTGTAACTCATACTCACATCACCTCAGTTTACTCAGTAACAGAAGACACTTCCCAAACACACCAAAGTGGAGTGTTATGGAGTTTTACACTGTAGCTGATTTAATGACTAATTGCAGCAGAACAGAGCCCTGCTCCTGCCTTTAATTCACAGTAGGGACAGAAGAGCTGAATTCTAATCATTACATCAGAAATCTAACACTGTACCATTATTTTCCTTCAGCACAGCCTCCTGAATTAACCCACCATACGGGCAGATAAGCCCTAAGCCTGGTAACAAGGGACAGGACGGAAAGCAGAGCTGCATTGGCTCAGCTCTAAGAGCTGATGGATGTTCTTTTCCCCATCAACCACAATACACTGCTGAGAGGAGTTTGTTTGCACTACATTAGAGGCAAGGAATCAACTTTAAAAATTGTGCCCAGTTTCTCCACACACCTGAGCATTGACATTGGCACCAAACTCCAGAAGGCACTGGATCACCTCTTCCAGGCCCCAGCAGGCTGCCAAGTGGAGGGGTGTCTGTCCATCATGAGCCTCCTCTTCTCCCTCTCCATTCGGGCCCGGCTTTCTGGGACTGTTCACATCACACCCACTGCAACACAACACTCAATTTACTGTTTAACCCAGATCTGAACTGCTTCAAAAAGGGTCAGAAAGAAGTTTACAACAGCTGACCCAGCAACTGCTGACACATCCTACAACAGCACAGACCCCTGGTTTTAGTTTGACTCTGGTCCTCAGGACCAGGATGCTAACAGAGATAACAGAGTGTGTCCAAGATGAGTCAGAATTCCTGAAGTCCCACCCACCAAGAGCCTGGTGAAGCACATACTTGTTACTGACTCAGGACAGCACTCAGTGAACCAGGGACACACATCTGCACATTGCAAGGTCTGGGTTTGGGAATTCCTGACCTGCGGATGAGGAAGCATCCAATCTGTTCACTGTTCTCATCAATAGCCCTGTGCAGGAGGGTTTGGAGGCAGCCACTTGGTCCTGGCCCCCAGCAGGTTGAATCACAGCCATGCCTGACCTGGAAGGAGAAGCACAGAGAGGCACTCAAGGTTTTTTATGTCTCCAGACTCCTCCTCTGGTCCCTGTCTGATGCTTCTGGAACACTGGCCCTCAGAGGCAGACCCTGAGATGCCTTGTTATTCTCATAGCAGTCAATGAATTTCAGGAAGCTGCTTTGAGGTCTTCCAGACCAATACTTGACTGGTTTCTTATGTAATCCTTAATTAGGTGGTAGTTATTAACAATTCAAATATTCACCCATATACTTTGATAGACAGGTCTGAAGCCAGTTGGACTGGTTACCTCACTCGCAGCACCTACAGCAGATCAAGCAGCATCTGCAGGCATTGCCTTTGAAGCTCTGGCCCATTTACCTGCTTTTCTACACATTCAGCTAAACAGAGAGTTTCTTCCACGAGCTGTACTGCCAATATTGGTATTTTTCTACTAGAGAACTACAAACTCGAGCAGTGAGCACTGAACACTTGTTCCACTCCACTTTCCAAGGTCTGTACATGAGCAGTTGCAGTGCTGACCCCAGAAAGGTTCTTATCCAATATCAGCACAAACAGTCAAGTTACAAGACTTATTTCTCAGGTCACCAGCACAGCTTTTAAACAGTTGTCTCAAGCAGACCAACACTGGGTATCAGAGACAAAACTTTCAAGTAACTTCCTTATGAAGAAGATAAAAGGAGGTCAACTTCAGTCTCCTCAGAAACCTCCTCTTGGATCACCTGTGCCTGAAAATAAATTTGTCTTTAATGTAAATATAAGCCTTTAAGGGCCTTCTTGGTGCAACTTTAAGATGCAGTAAGAACTAGCACTAACACACAGGCATGTTCAGTGTTATTCAGGGAGCTGATCATTACACAAGCCTGGTGTGCTATGGACTGATGCTTTCAGTGGATCTTTACTCCTTCCAGGATCTAGACAGCACATACATTCTCTAGTATTTTATTGCAGTGCCTGCAAGAGATTTGGCTGTATTTATAAAAGATTTCTGCACAAAAGAGGGACCTCTGGTGAAAAAAAACCTCTAAAATTGGTGATATTGGACCACTCTGTTCTGTCCATGCACTGAGTTTGGTTTTGCTGATAACCTCTTTCACGGCCAGCAAGGTGCCCAAAACTCAGACTGAATTAAGCCAACTGACAGTCTCACCAGGGTTGATGCAATGTCTTCCAGGTTGTTTTCCAGGGCAAGCCACAGGGGAGGATTTCCCTTCTCATCTGGCACGGACATGTCTGCTCCCCTGGTACAGATGGCATCCACCACCAGAGGGAGCTGGTTTTTGATGGCCAACTGCAGGGCCGTCTCTCCGTCCTGTGTCCTGCAGCAGGGACAGGTCCAAGGGTGTTACCACAGTGGTTTATTGGCAAAGCCAAAGATCTCCTCCTCACACGTGTATTTCTGCTGTGCTAAGACCATTTCTCTCCAGCCAAGCAAACACAGCACGCTCGTATTTCATCACGGCTTTGTATTTACCTTTCTTCCCCCCTTTAGTAGCAAGTGATTGATTTCTGGAGTTGGAATAGTGAGTGTTCTTAGCTCACAGACACTCACTGCCTTCAGTGCAGCCATTATTTGAACAGGCTGCTTCAGAGCCAGCCTGCTGCCACAGCAGAGAACAGCTTTGTCTGCAGCATGGCAACACTTCCAGCACCAGTCAAACACCAACTGTTAAAAGCCTGAAGTCACAACAGCAGCGTTAGGCAGTTTGTACCCCTGACATTCACGGCAGTTACAGCCTGCCAAGCTTCACAGCCAGCCTGTCAGTCATGTGAGCAGACAAATGTTCTGCTAAGCTTGATACCAGGTTGTCTTGTAGGAGATACTCAGGAGGCAAGTTCTGTTGGACTCTCGTTGCTGGACCTACAGTGAATTGTTTCGGGTGGCAGCAAACGTGCAGCTCCAACGAGCTGGCAAATGGATGGGACTGGGGAAGTTCAGTGTCCCTGGGCCTCTCCAGGACTCAAGTCTGTTACTTAGAATTGTCACCGCCTCCTGCAGCCACTAGAGGAGGTACCGACCAAAGGAGCCACACTCAGGGCCAAGTTCACACGTGGACCCCTCAGCTACAGTGCCATCAAACAGTGCCAAACACACACCTGTGCACGGGTCACAGTCTGAAACCAACTGCAAGCCATTACACCAAGGCATTCACCCCCACCTGCTCGAGACACACATCCAGTTGAGTGCTGGATCAGTTAGGATCTTACCTGACATTGATATCTGCCTGATGTTCCAGCAGGAAGAGGGCACTCTTGCTGTCCTGCCTCTGGATGGCCATGTGCAGCAGAGTCTGCCCATCTGCCATGGTGTCGTTGATGGAGGCCCCCGATCCCAGCAGCTGAGCTGCGATGGTGTGCATGCCTGGGGGTTCAAGATCATCAGTATTTTACTTTTGGGTCTCTCAAGCAGAGGCACTGAGGACTGACAGAACAGAGCTAACATGCCCTGACAATACAGTGACCTGATATGAAAACAGCAGGGAGTTCACAGAGGAAGAATTCCCCAGAACTGCAGGCACAGCTGTGGGTTAGAAATCTTCCACTGCCACAGGTGAGCACTCATTTCTAGAAGATGAAGAATCATCTAAAGCTCTCCTTGACAGCTCCTCTCCAGCAGCACAAGCCAGAACATGAACACACAACCTGCTGTTTTATCTTTTGAAAACACTCCTGTTCACATCACAGCTTCCACAGAGTTGTGAATTGTCACCCTGTGTGGAAGGTGCATACCTGTCCAAAGAGCCAGGCCCAGCACAGTCTGGTCCCTCGAGTCCTTCAGACTGAAGTCAGGAATAATTTGCAGGTTGTTGGTGGCATGAAGAGCATTAGCTACAAAAAAGCACCAAGAATTAGAGCGTTCTTGTACCTGACCTGCAGTCACACACTGAAAGCTGCAGCAGCAGCAATGTCACAGTTTGAAGTGGGCTGTTCCTTGAGCAGCCAGTTTGAAAGATCTGAGCAAGATACCTTCAGCTTCCCTGATCTGATACTGCTTAGGATTCAGACAGTATTTCCACTACTGCCCAGTCTGAATACTTACACTATAACACATTCAATTCTCTTGCTAAGAGGCTTACCCTGTCCCTTTCCTCCTGCAATGCTGAACACACTGGCACACACAAAGCTTGGAGAATGGAGAGTGGAGGTTGTACCACAGCGTGGTGGCAGCATCCCTCCTCCTCAGCTCCTGGGATGGAGGAGATTTACCCCAATTCACCTACTCCCTTCTCAATCCCACTTGTGGCAGGAGACAAAGCTGGCCTTGCTTCAGCTGTCAATTCTTGCTGCTGGAAAGCAGCTGAACTAGCAGCATTTGATAAACTCATCTGCCAGTGTTTGAGTACTTAAGTCTCAACTCTCTTGTAACACCAGCATTACCTTGTAAAAAATCCTCTTACTGAGAGTTAAGGGAGGCAGAAATCTCACCACAAAGACGCCTTTACCCAAATTTGATTCCAGTATTTGAAGGGATCTCAGTTGTACAGGTAGAATAGAACCCAGGATTAACTGCTCAAGTCCATTATCTACAGTGGAGAATTCACAAGCACTCACAGGCAAAATAATTTTCTAGTCTTAACAAGCAGATAATCTGAGTTTAAGACTATATTTAGCCTGTCTTATTAACTGCTCTACTTAAAAAACACTTACAGTTTGTCAAACCCAGCTCAGATGCCATCTTGGCACACCAATTCCCCACAGCAGCAAGAGTCTGAACCAGCAAAGCCCTACCTTTTTGTTCCAGGATGACTGACACCACATCTGGGTGATTGTAAGCGATGGCCATGTGGAGGGGAGTCTGCAGGTGAACATTCTCTGCTGTTGGAGGAGCAGATGAATCCTTCTGCCCAAGCACTGCCTCTGCTGTCTGGATGTTGGGATTGGCTCCCTGCTGCAGCAGTTCTGCTGTCAGGTTTGCCAGGCCGTGCCTGCAGGCTGTGTGCAGGGGGGTTTCTCCCTGCAATAAAAACAGGGGGCTGGGTTAACAGATTCACACATGGAGAAAAGCAGCTTTTAAACCACTGTTCCCACAGGAATTGCTGTGAAGAGCTTCACTCCCAGTAGCTGAAGCTCCTCAGGACTTACAAACTACTTAAGTCAGCTTTTATTAAGGACTATCCCACCAGGCACTGAGGGGAGTGTTAGAACTGGTGATGTTGCAGGAACAGTCTGATCACCAGGAAATACCTGAAAACATGCAAAGGTTCACAAAGTGCTCCAGCTTGCTTTAAGCTATGGTTTAGTGAGGAGAGATCCCTGCTGGCTCGTTTCTGAAGAGCAACAAGGAAACTTTCAGGCTTAGTTTGTGCTCTTACCCGTTTGTTTTGGTGGTTGACTTTTGCCCCGTGGGTTGCTAGGAAGAGAGAAGCTGCCTCATTTCCTGCACCAGCTGCCCTCTGAAGCAAGCAGTTTCCTAAAGAAAAACCAGGAACACTGTCAGAGTGCTATTCCAATCACACTTGGATACCAACAAGCACGTTAACACCTTCCCCACCACCTTACAACACTGAAGTTTGAAGTCAACAAAGCAAACCTTGCCTATTCGAAGCCCCTTTGCAACTCTGGACTGGCACAGGCACTACCATTTAGTAGTACATGCAATGACACATTTTGAAACTCTAAAGAGGATATTAGAACCTGGCAATGAGTCCAGATTTCCTGTCACTTCCTGCAAGTCCAGCTCAGCCTGGGGCTGTCAGTGCTCCAGCTCTGGGTAAAGCTGCTACCACCTGCCATTCACTGCGCAGCAAATGCTGTTAAACCTCATCCAGCTCCTCCGAGTGCAGTCAGCATTCAGCAATTAACTTACAAGCCTTCCACCTGCACAGAAATACAAACCTCTGGTTTACCTGTCACTGTGTCTGGAGCATCTGTGTTGCTGCCTCGCTGGATCAGCCTCGCTGCGAAGCTGTTCTCGTCAAAGGAGGTTCCATTCACAACAGGGGCATCCTCGAAGGGGTTCACAGACTGGTCAGACGACACGGTGATGTACTGAACTGCCAGCCACAGAGCTGTGCTTCCCTCGTGATCCTTCAGCTCCAAGTCTAGTCTAAAAATAAGAGTTGGTGTCCCCCAGTTTATACCTTAAAAAGTGGTTCCCCAGCTCAGCTTAAGTTTCAAGTGGCTGAGCAGCTGTACTGGTTCATCTTGTAGCTCACTGACAACTCCTGCTTGCCAAAAAACCCACTGTAGCTCCAGTTACCTCAGAGAACATGGCAATACTCTCACACCAGCACACACCTTCTCTGACACTACATTCAAGCTCACTGCTCCCAGGAGTGTGGCCCTGGTAGATCTGGGCTCCCACCAAGTACAGCAAAGAGGTAACTCCTCTTGTATTTGAGTAAACTGGGTACAAGAACTGCAAATCCCACTGCAAAGAAACTGAGTCAAACAAAGTGTTCTGCTTCACCGCCCTAAGTCACCTGGGGTAGCTTTAGGCAGAACCCAAGAACATAGTGAGACATTTCAAGAGTGTTATCACTCCTTTTAGCTCCACTACAAATGGAGGTTACACTACATCACCTTTGAAATTATTTCACCCTCTTTGAAAAAAACACAAGAGTTGCAGTTTGCTGCTTCCCTACAGTAGGGCAAAAAATCCCATGGCTTCTGGCACCTTCAGTTATGCAAAGCCTTTACACTTTTGCATCCCAAGTCTATTACTGGTCCTTCTCTAAGGCAAAGAGGCACAGAGGAGTTGTTAACCCGGGTTTCACATCTTCACTGTACCAGGTAACACGGGTTTTACACATAAATGGAACTTACTGCTTGCACTGGAGCAGCTGACTGAACACAGGCTCGTTCCTCACCACAATGGACACGTGTAACGGGGTCCTGGAATTGCAGCACAAGTTCAGTGACATCAGCAACAAGTGACACACACGATTTTGTCCCTGCTCAGCAACACGCCCTGCAGATTTATGGGCTTCACTTCTCTCCTTTCAGAAGGGCACAAGCACATCTTGAAACAAAGATCAGCCTGCTCTTCTCGTGGACATGCTGTCGAGTAATTTGGTGCAAGCAACTCAGTGTAAGAGTGAACTGTGAAGGCAGAAGCACAAGAGCTGGCTCTGTCAGCACTGTGGACACACAGCTCTTAGTCCTTGGAGTGCATCAGCTGGTGTGTAACTGATACCCTCCAAGTCTTCCATATCATTCTATACACTTGTTTGCCAGCCCCACCTAACCTGGGAAACAGCTTCCTAAAACAGCCCCTGCACTTCAGATAACACACTGCAGATACTGCTTTGCTTTGAGGTCATTTCAGTTTCCCCAACAGCTTCAAAGGGAAGTACCTTTCAGGAATACTGTTTGGCACCTTAGTTGGCCTTTTTTACTGCTCAGTGATTCAATAAAGGCAAATTAACTGTGTGCCATGTGCCCTAACACCATCCACTCACCCCAGCTCTCTGTAGCTGGGCTCTGTTTAATTGGCCATGACAGGGAACCCTTCAGGCTGCACAGCTTTCTGCTGGGAGTGCTGCCCACAGGTCTCCAGCTGGGTCCATGAGTTCACCCTTCCTGCTTTCCAGTCTCCCCTGTGCTTTGCTGGCAGAGCTGAGCACGTTCTCAGCCTCTGATCAGCACAGCACTGCCTGCTGACCCAGTATTTACCTGCCTTTGCTGTCCTGCATGTTTGGGTTGGCTCCTGCCTGCAGGAGGGACTCTGCAATCTGTGCCATCTCTGCCATGACATCAGGGGAGTGTTTCTTGGGGCTGTAGGAGGCCACGAGGTGCAGAGGGGTCTCCTGGTCCCCCAGGGTAGCAGCGTTCACACGGGCACCGTTTTTAATGAGAAAGTTTGCAGCGAATTTATCTCCTTTGGGGAAACAAACCAAGGTTATCTGGGGACAGACACACTCCAGAAAAGGGATATACAGGATCTCCCTCCAGACCACACATTCATTCCAACACAAGGGTGTGCTCCTACAATGCCTCAGCAACAGGTGACTTCAACCCTTCACTGCAAAGTCAGGGTTAAAAGTGTTTTGTCCATGGGTGACTCAAGTTCACACACGAGTTTATAATTATTGTGAGACTGAATTTGCTAGTTCCTCCATCAAAATAATCCATTCACTGAAGCTGTGGCTACTGAAAGGCAAACCTTCCTTCTCAGAGCTCCAGCTCAGACTGAAAGCAGCAGAACCAGAGGACAAATGCCAGCATTAACTATGAGGAGCAGCCTGCTGCAACCTTTCCAGTGCTCCACAGGTCTGCAGCCATCACCACACTGACCTAGAGGGTCTCCTACTCCTGCTGGAGTTTCATTCACAGGATCAGACACCAGTTTTACCCTGTTTAGATATGTAGGAGATTAAAGGAAGAAGTTGGGAGGTGAATTTAAGTTTTCTGAGCCCAAAATAACTTCTAGGAGTCCCAGAGAGTTTACTGTTAAAAATAAACTCCTGCTTGGCTCTCTGGAGCAGAGCTGCCAAAGGCATTGCAGGAAAGCAGCAGCACGAGGTGTTCACTGCAGATTTTTCCCACACTTTGACCACAGGCCAAGATGCTGCTGATCCAAAGCCTTCAGAGGGCTGTGGCCATGGCAACCAGGTCCTGCTGTGCTGCAGTTCCCAGCAGATGCATTTCCCACTCTAAGGTGGAGAACAGCTCAATACAACCCTGGAGTTGTACAGGCTCCAGTTGTAACTACACTGCTGTTCCCCAGAGCTCTGACAATGTTCACACTGGACAGAGGCACCTCCACCTGCTCCTCATCTTCTTTCACTCCCATTTTCCTCCTCTAGAACTGCTGTGCAGTAGCACAGACCCTCGCTCTTCACCAGCACAAAGAAGCATATGGTGCATTCAGCCCAAGTCCAGAAAAGATTTCATCTTTGTGACTCTCATGCTGTCACTTTCGATTCAGCTCTTTGACATGGAATTGTCAAATCACAACATTCCCAGTGTCTTCTCACTGAAGTGACAACTACAGTGTGACACAGGAAAAGACTTGGGAATCACGGTGGGAACAACTGGAAGCTACCAGAGCTTGCCATGCCATGCTTACCCCTGTGGATGGCTTTGTGCAGCAGACTGCAGCCCCTGGAGTCTGCCCTGTCCACGTCAGCCTTGTGGGCCACCAGGGTGGTGGCAATGCCCTCCAGCCGCTGGGCCAGGGCCAGGTCCAGAGCCAGGTCTCCATTGGGATCCAGTTCATTGAGCTTCCCAGGAAGCTGCAACACAAACACTGACACTGCTGACAGCCCACCAGCCCGTTCCAAACAGCACAGCCAGCCCTGCAGCTCCAGTGCAAAATCCCAGTGGGGTGTTTTGGTGAATGCCCCCTGCTGTTCCATGACAAATCAGTTGTGTCAATCACAGAGTTCCTTCAAACATGTCACCATACAGGCACAGCCAATGTAGGGAGAATCATTCAGTTATTCCTTTAAGATACCTCCAATCTCAGCAGGATTAGCAGCTAGGGGTGCTACACACCAGTAGCCTCCAATCAAGATTTGAGGCAACTTAAAGTACTAAATGAATAATTCTTGATAATTAATACTTGAATTCTACATTCTCCCTTGTTGGAGAACATCTTATTTGCTATTTATTATTTAGTTATTTAGAGTTTTCACCCAAACAGAACAAACACCTGTTACTTCAAGCCTTCAACAGAAGAGAGGGAGCATTTGTTCAAAGAAATGATTCTTCCTGAACTGCCCCAAAGCAGCAAAGCTGACTATTATACCAGTCAGTTTTAAATGTAGTATCAGGTAAGGGATTTTATTATATCCAGTCTGTTGTACGCAGGGTGTTTTAGAAATGTTCTGAATCACTTGTGAATCATGTTCTTCACAAAGCCTCTGTTGCTAGACCTCCATTATGTAGTTGTGACAATATTAAACATGCAAATCAAGGATTAGTGACAGAAACCACCAACAAGGTTCAGACTGGGAGTTCAAAACCAGTTCCTCGAAACGCCAAATTCCAGGAGAAGGCTCCACTCAGTCTCACCTGCGAATCCATTTCTATAAGGTACAAGAAGACCACATCTTCCCTCTCCACTTTAATGGCCTTGTGCAGAGGATACTCTGTCTTGGACTTGAACATCTTGTACAGTAACTGGGCACTCATGCTGCTGAAATCTTCCTTCCGCAGGTCGTCCTGGGAGCAACCAAAGAGAAGGGTGAGCAACACTCCTGTCTTATTTACAGACCAGGAATTGCACAATGGAATTCTGAAGTTCACAAAACAAGCTCAGCCAAAAGTTCCATGTTGGTAACGTTCTGGCAGGAACAATCCCAGATAACCTTTTGAAATTAAGATTTAATCAGGAAGTTTGAAATCTGACATTTTAGTTTCAATTTTTCCTCCTTTTTGTCTACAGACATGGAAAACTTGCATTTCAGCAGGCATTATGGCAGGTTAACATCTCATCTTAAGAACAATCCTCTATCTGGGTTTATTCTTAATTCTGACAAAAAAGGCCTACAACTATTGAAAACAGACAACTCCCAAGAACTTTGTAAAATTATCAATAAAAGTGAACAGAAACTTAGTGGTATAAAGACCTAAATGAGTTAGTGCTCATTTGACTAAACAGAAAAAACCTCATTTCCAGGTAGAATTAAGCATCAACAGTTAGGAACCAGAAGAAGTCAACATTAAAACTGCTGACCCACAGGTTCAATACAGTAATCTTTTTTATGCATTAACACATCAAAGCACTCCCCTGGGCCTTAGTATCAGTCAAAGAAAGAACCATCCACATCTAGATGATGCATTTGAGGTTTAGAATTATCTAAATCCCCACACACAAAGTCTCCTGTTGACAAGCCTTCTTGTGAAGGCCAATCCATTACTCAGTTAATCAAACTTTCCTCAGAATAAAGAGCTCAGAGCAAGTGGAACTTCCAAGTTGGTTCAAGACCATTTCCCTCTCCCTCCATCACTGAGGATAAACTTCCCTGGTTTCTAGGAATTATTTATAGAAGTAAAAGCAGGCCTGGGATTTGGGACCTGTATAGACAGAGACCAACTATGGATGAACTTCTAAACAGTTGTGGAGGCCAGATTGGATAAACAACCCTCCTGCCTATTAGAACAGTCCCTTTTCTGTGGCTGGGGAACCGAGACACTCTGTACAGTGAGGCAGTTCCAACAAACAGAACAACTCTTCAGGTTATGAGCTACTCCCCCCCACACATTCACACCACACAGACAATGGATACAACCTCCAAAGACAATTAAAAACTCTCAAAAGGAGCCACTTAATGTTCTTTGCTTCAAACATGTAATTGTAGAGAACCCCAAACAACACAGTGGCAAAAGTACATGTTATAAAGGCAGCCAGGAGAGATGGGAAGGGAGGAGCCCCCCTGCCTCAGGAGCAGCCCCAGAACTCACACCAGGGCTCAGCTTTTCATCCACCCTGCTGTCAGTACAACAGGTCACCTTAGTCACTGGAAGTTATCAGGAAACCACGAAATCCCCATCCCAACTGGAATGCTTGGAACCAGGAGACACTGCTGAGGTTACACACTGCAGTGAGTTTAGCACAATTCTCCTGACTGAGTTCCTGCACTGTGCAAGCACTTTTGCTCTCGTTCCCTCCTGCCAGGACTCACCCAGTGACTGGCAATGATCTCTGCACAGTAGTTCAGGAGGGTGCTGGCACTCAGCTCCTCAGCAGTCTGGTAGAAACGGATGCAGTTCCTGACATTAACTAGTGACATGACTCCTTTTTCACATCTGTCAAAACAGGAAAGCCAGTGGTCAGCAATCCAACAGCTTTGCTGCAGTCACTGTCCCATCTCTCACAGGGTCCCAATCCTCCTTTTCCCAGATGCCAGCACAAAATGGCTTGGACTTGCTTTACTGTAGGGCTGAGCAGCATAAACATCCTTCAATCAGAGGCCCTGAGAGCAGCTGCCCTAAGAGCAAACTTCCATTGGAATCCAGCCAGCCAAGGGCTATGGTCACACCACACTGCAGGAATCCCAGTTCTCCCCAGGGCACACACTGCATTCATCCACTGCTGTCAAGGAGGGGAGATTGTACCTTCACAGGTCAGGCAGGGGCTGTTCAGATTGGATACTGGGGAAATTCCTCCATGGAAAGGGTGGTCAGGCCCTGGCACAGCTGCCCAGGGCAGTGGTGGAGCCACAGCTTGGAGGGTTTTAACAGGGTTTACCTGTGGATGTGGCACTTGGGGACATGGGTCAGTGGTGGCCTTGGCAGTGCTGGATTAATGGTCAGATTTGATCTGAGAGCTCTGCTCCAGACTAAACAATCCTATTATCCTGTGATTCCATACCTACCAAGATATCTAATAATTCCCAGTGGCATCCTACACACAGGCCTGTAACTGGACCTCCATGAGCAGACACCTGCTAAGCTCACAGCACAACATGAGCACAGCTTTTAGGCTGGCACTAAGTTTGAAGGCAGTTTTAGCACTGGTCTTACAGATATCAACACCTTGGGTCAGCAGATGTGACAGCAGTTTAGTCTGCTCCATGTTGGAGGCACACACATCATAGATTATGGATGTCAGGTACTGCTACAGACACCCCTTGGGCAAAAGGTTCTTCTGTCAAAGGATACTCTGACTAAACCCAAGGCTTTGAAGTTGTACAGAACTTGAGGAGGTTTCAGTTTGTACATTCAGGCTTCTCACTGACACTAAATGGTTCCTCAGAGCACTCCACACAATCAGGATGACAATCCAGCCTCTACTAGAATGGTAACTGTAATCTCAGAAAGGGAAAGCACTGCACTGTTACATTAACCTTATTTCTGAAGAAAAGTTGCCACCAAGATGCACAGAAGAGCAGCTGTTTAAATTAAAATGTCACCTATATCAGCTATGAGAAAAACTGCTACAGTTTCACTGGAGAGCAAGGCTTCATTTCCCATTTCCCATCCACTCTCAGGCTGTATTAGTAAAACCTCAAGACTTGCAAAAGCATCATTGTAGCCAATTGCCAGCAGTTATTTCTATTCAAACAAAGTTGAAGAGTTCAAGCAGATTCAGTGTATTTACTAAGACTCACCTTTCCCTAAGCAGCTGGAGCTGGAATTTATTAGCCAGTTTCATGAGCTCTGTCAGGAAGATATCATCTTCTCTGAGCTCCAGTTCATCTGTGTAGATCCACCTCAGCATTGCCATGGTTACCTCTGGGTCAGCATCTGCTACAGGGAGCAAGAGCATTCATGAAATACCTAAAACCAACCTGCAGCTCAAGCAGTTGCTGTTCCTTTGACTGCTGAAAGTCAGAGCTCCCATGAAAAAAGCCTTGTTGAAAACTGTACTGCTTTAGTTCAACCAAGATGGCAAAAGAGGGGCAAAACTGGGCAAAGGTGAAAGTAATGGCAATGCTGGCACCAAGCTGGAAAAGCTTTTCCCACTGGAGCACTGTGCAGAATGCAGGGAGCCCTACAGCATCATCCCCTTCCTGCTACACAAAAGTTGCACATTTAGGGGCCAGTGATGCCCCTTGGTCCCTCACAGATGGCCAAATACAAAATCTCCACTGTACAAGCACAAAGCCCCTTTCTGATTTAGGAATCCTCTCTCTGGATCACAGCCATGTGTTGTGAACTCCTGCATTCCAAAGGTACCTTGTTACCTCTTGGAAATGACTCCAGAGCACTTCCAACTGCTGGGAACCTTTTCTAGGATGGGTGCAAAAGCGCCAGTTTGAGGAGCTGCTCAGATTTCAGGTGTTGCCAAGATTGCTCACAAACTGATGTTTTACACAGTGAGAAAACTCAACCCTGGGCCCCAGGACACGACACAAGCCCAGTGGCCAAGGACCTTTGTCACCTCCTCACAGGGACAGTGACAACCCTTCTCACAAGGATGCAGATGACAATAACTCCAGGAAGACCAATTACAGCAAAAATACCACTCGTTTAGAAAACCAACCTTAGCCCTTTGAGCTGTTTTGTTTTCAAAATGAAAAAATAAAATTAACAACCTGTAAGAGACTGAAATACCCATCCTAAAACATCTTTAGATCTGCAGAGCACCAGCAGTCCTTGGCATGAACAGCCTCCCAAGAATCAGGAGCTTTGAGTAAGGCAAGTATTTTTTTGGCAAACTTGAAGCAGTCAGAAAACCTACTTGAGATGCACAATCAGCTCTGCCTTGGCAGAGGTAAGGGTGCATCTCCTCCCTCTCAACAAGAGAACATGTGTTCATCTCTGTCTACCCTTTAGAGATTACAAAACAGATCTCATGAACTCTAAAGACACTCAACTGCTGTCTGTATTTTGGAGATAAGATTCAGGCAATCTCAGCTTGCAAGTCCTTAAGAGAACCACAACAATATCCAGGGAGCAGCTTGTTGCTTGTTCCAGCTATTTCATAACCTAATCCTTGTGCCATTTCTCAAATTTTATACAAAATTCAATTTGCCAGTGGAAGGTATCATTTACTAGTGCCTCTTTTAAGCATCATTCTGTAACAGGAAGTGTTGGCACTGTTAAACATGTAAACTGCAGTTACAGTTGAGATTTGCAGCTGAGCTGTGGAGCTAGAAATGCTGTGCACTGCCACTGCTAACAACACCACAATTAACATAAGAGCTTTTTAGTAATAATTTTTGTTAGCACAGCACTCAAATTAAAAACTCCTTGGCATCTCTTTTCTTGTGGTTGCAGAAAGACCCATAAATCACGTTGCAAGGAAGCCCATGCTGCCTCATAAAACCAGCCTGCTGTGACTTGCTGCTCCTTTCCAGTTTGTCTGCACTTGGGATTCATGAGAAGATTAAGTGCAGAAAGTGAAGCCAGTGCTTAATATTCAACATGCCAGTCAGCAGCCTGCTGAACCTCATACCTGCTTTTAATGCTCATAAATTAATTGTATAAGGCTCTTCCACGCTGTTAAGGACAGGGAAGCCTGTCAAGAGGTTCAATCTGCAGGAACACTGCCCAGGGTAAGTACATGCAAGGAACAGCTCCAGCAGAACAAAACACTCACGCAGGAGATGGTCTTGTAGAAACCTTCTCTTCCTCACCTGGTTTGCAAAGGTCTCCAAGTGCCAAAGCAAACACCTTTAATGACCCCAGTACCTGGATTCACTTCCCACACCCCCCATGTTAACAAGCAGCAAGGGATTCCCACGGCACACTGCAGAGAAATGATGCACACTACCTCCAAAAGCCCTGGCCTTAGAAAGGAAGGAGTCAAGTTCCTCCAAACAGATTTGGTTTTCATTATGTTTAGTTGACTCTAGAAAAGGCAAACAGGCCACCAATCTCAACCCCTGTTTGTTAAAGAGAAAGAAGGCAGGTTATTGATTTCACCAGCACTAACACCCAGGTCACAGGCTCACCAGCACCTGTCAGAGACACTGAAATCCGTAATCAACAGATCAAGCACCACTCTCAGTGGACAGCACTGGTCTGGAAGGCACACAGGTAACCTTCCCCCAACAGGCCCTTTCAGCAGTCACCCTAAAGGCAATCAAAGCATCCCATTCCTCAGCAGGGACTGACCTGACAGGTCCAGCTCGTCGGTGGAGGCGAGGTTGGCGAGGCTCCACGTGTCACTGCGCGCCGCCAGCACGAATTTGTGAGCTCTGATGTGCTTGTCCCCAACCTTTATCTTCAGATCACTGAGGAAAGAGCATCAACATGGATAATGCGGACTCCTCCTGTGTTTGGATATGTAGGAATTCAGCATCTCCACATGTCCTGGTATCCACATTTAGGTTCAAGTTGTTGGAGGCTTAAAACACATTTAGTTTGTTAAGCAGAACATGTCAGATGACAACTCTTGTTTTTCTAGGGAGAAATGCAATCAGTCATCAGTATTTCAAGTGCTTAGTCAGGGTGTTTTTTTGACCATTTAAAATGAACAGCAGAAGTCAGGAAGAGCCAACAATCTTGAGGTTAAATATTTATGTCACAGTGTCCATCCTAATACTGTCAGTTAAGCACCAATGGTTTCAGGCAACACCAGCAAGAGCACAATGCTGTTTGACAGCAGGCTGAGTGCAAGGCAGAACCTCCAGCTCCCAGGGGATCAGCTGCCAAGAACACCAATTTCATCCTGACCCCTTTCCACCAGGTTATTCTCTGTAGTTGGAAAATACCTGCCCTGCTTATTTGAAAGGCCCACGGCTTGCAGATGTTCTGGCTGTGCAGGTGAGCTGTGCAGACCATTTAGTGACTCAAAGCTACTACAGGACAAAACAGAGATGTTACTGGACAAAACCTGCACTGGGACTCGCCACCTTTCTCGTTTTATGACCTGTAGGTCCTTTCAGACAAGTGTTCTGTGCCTTTAAAGCTGAAGAGAAATAAAGTGATGCAACTCTTCTGACATATCCTACCTGACAAATCTTTCACCCAGCAGGCTACAGTGAGTTCTTGCAGGCACAGACCCTTCTCTCAGGGAGGCTCATGAAGAGATGGCAGGGCAAGGAAGTTTAACCAAAATATTTTCCCCTTACATGACTAAACTCCTTCATTATCTTGGCATTGCTTTCAGGAACAGCATAGAAATTGAGAAATATCATTGTAGTTTCACAACTAAATCAGCTCAGGGATCCAGCGTATTGGAGGTGATCCTTAATGTGCCTATGGGAAAGAAACCATTAAACCTAATTATGTGTTGAGATTCAAAAATACAGGATCATGTGTATCACTGCATCACATATCACTAATACAACCAGACAAGCCAAGTCAGTCAGGCTTCTTTACACACAAAAGGAGCACAGAACTGGCTGCAAGGACAGAGCTTTCAAGAAAGTAGGGTTTCCAGGTGTGTTGTGTAATTATTCCATCAACTAGACCAGTTCAAAGTCACTTCTGTTCAGAGGGAATTTGGCTGTTTACAGTGATCATGGTCAGTTTTCTTTGAGTTTATCTTAAGTGTCAGCCTTGGAGACAAAGTTCTGCTTAGAGCTGGATCCAGTGTGCCACCTGATCTTCCAACTGCAATCAATTCCCACCGTGCAGCAAACACCTCCCCTAAGCCCAGGGCCTGGTGTAGCCATGAAAACCCAAGGTCCCCGAGGGGGCTCCTCACCTGTACTGCTCCTGCTGGTAGAGCTCAGCCACGATGCTGAGCAGCCGGCTGATGAAGGTGTCGCTGGCATTGTCCTGGTTGGCCTCCACAGCCAGGAGGCTGCACCTCCTCTCCGTGTCCACCAGCTTCTTCTGCAGCTTCACGTACTCCTGGCGGAGCAGCAGCAGGTGCTTCTCCAGCTTGGCCACCTCCTCTGCAAGGCAGGCACAGCGTTACCCAGGTGAGGCTGAGACGTGCACAGCTTTGTTTGGTGCCTGAGGGGAGCTCCCCCTCAGATTACACGTGGAGTTCATCACATGGCACCCCAGGAAGAGCCTCTCCTCTTCCACTGCCCTGGAGCATCTCACCCCCAATATTAAACCTCCTATTTCGTATCATTTCTATAAACACATCAAAAAACATAACACAGTGATAGAAGGCACTTACAAAGGAAGTTCTGAACCCTGTTTTGTCAGGAATGCTCTGAGCTTTGTAAAGCCATGGGAGTCCATGACTGTGGGAACTACGGTGGGGTAGAGGACAAACTCTTTGGTTCTTAACCATTTTTTCAGGCTGGTTAAGACGTCATTTGACTTTACAGCTGAGACTTAAAACACAAGTGAGCATCAGAACAGTTGCTGAAGTATCATATCTGTCTTAGCTACTGTCAGCTAAGAAACACCTTAAAAATCTAACCAATGAGTTGAAGTGGGAAAGTTGCTACAAGATTACTCCCTACCAGCCAGGAGTTCATCATTCCATGACTTTCCCTCAAATATTTACTAAATATCACTAATACAAACAACGAGAAACTGAGCCCTGTTGGTCAGTGCTTTCTTCTGCAGAGAAGTTCAACAGCACAGCTGACCTTGGCCTTGCAGACAGAACACCTCACTCAGCCTCTCCTCTCCCAGCTCTGCAGCAAATGCTCCCTCCCAAGTCTTTTAACTTAACTGGTGCAATGGATGAACAGAAAGCAACGTATTTTATTGTGTGTTTGTACTTGTATCCTCTGGAGGTACTTCCTTCACCAGCCTTTTACTCAGCTTCATCCTTTCACATTTCACAAGTATCATCTCCTCTGGGATAGCTTCCCCTTTCTACTGAAATACGCTGTGATTTCAGAATTGTGCCACACCAACCCTCAGAGAGGGTTTGAAATCCTGCTGTGGTCAGTCCTTCCCTCTGAAGATGAATGTAGTGGTGGTGTTCTCAGAATGAGAAGGGCACAGCTACTGTGGCTTCCTGGCTGATTCAGGAGGAAGGGGTGAGGGGCCACGAGTGCTGCTGTCCCAGCAGGGAAAGCAGGAGTGTGACAGGAACCCAGAGCGAAAGACATCGAGAACTGCACCAAAAATTGGGGTATGAACACCCCCACTGTCCACACAGCCAGAGTTTCAGGTGCCACAGGAATTCAAACACCAGGAATGAGCTGCCCACTGAAGCTCCCAGCACAGAGAAGGAAGGGCTGCACCTCCCAGCCCAGACCTGGGAGTGGGAAGGTGGGAATAAAGAACCAGCAGCAGAGGTGACATCTGCAATACTGCCATTCTACCAATGTCAGCTCCCTGCCTCCAAATCAGCCTGAATTCACCAGGGCACAAGGCAGAACTACCCTAAGACCCTAAAAAGCAGTAACTGAGGTTTTGTGCATCACTGACAATCAGGCTGCCCCCAGGGCAACCCCAGACAATCCCTACTGGCAGTGAAAGCCCCTCAAGGAACCAAAGCTGTGAGAAATCCCCTTTTCAGACTGACAGCATGTTCTTCCTGCAACCTCACTGAGAAGGACTGAGAGGCATTTGCTTACTTAACAATCACAAGAGTTGTAGAATAAGAGCTTCTGTTATTCTACATGACAACCTGCACACCTGTTGTGTAGTGGCCACACTTGAGGACAATATTTGATCTCAGAGCACATTTCAAGTGCACGTTCAGGACAGATCTCAACATCCAGTTAATCAACACTCACTGAAAAGAGCAAAAGCCTCAAGTTTTCCCTGCATATTGTTCACCTGAAGAGTGAACAAACCAAATGCACAGTTACTGCAGGCACACCCCCCCCAATGAAGATCTCTGCCTCAGTACACTGGAGGGCCAGACTCAGGATGACACCAGTAAGTCTCTGGCTAACCATCAACCAAAGGACTCAGAGAGGAGATGCCTGGGCTCAGCAGAGAGGGACACACACAGCAACTCCCCCTCTGAGCCACTGAGCTCCCACAGGGCCAGGCAAGAAAATGAAAGCAGGGTTTGTTAACAGCTTTGTGGCAGATAGACCAGCATCTCATGAGCTGGCAGTTTATATCCCAGATCAAAGACTTCAAAGAGCACTTCAGGAAAGGCCACTCAGTTTTTCTTACAGGAGAAGGCACAAAAAGCACTTGAGAGCAACTGGATGGTGGAATGCAAAGAGATAAGCAGGGAGGCAACAGGCAATGGGGAGACAGATAGCACATCCCAAAAACTACAGGAAGGGCCTAGTGCAAGCTTGTACTGCAGAAACCAGTAGAACTGTTAAAATCCAAGTGCTTTTCCAAATCCCATCAGAGTAAATGCATTTGGAGGGTGTCACCAACACCCTTCAAGCACAGCAGCAGCACTCCAGGAGCCCTGCAGGGCTCACCAGAGCCTGACAGAAGGACCCATCACACTGCCCACCCCACCCATCGTAAAGCACTCCCAGAGGCAATAAAGACAAACTTTTGTTTGCTTATGAAGCGGAACCGAGTGAAATACTTCAGAATGATGAACTATTTCCTTACCCCCTCGAGTCAGGCCCTTCCTTCACTGCTCCACACTCTGAGCCTCAGCCCCCCCAAAGCTGTACAAGCTGCTGCTTTCTTGTTCTGCCTCATTTTTGCCCACTTTTGATCTTCACCCTGAGTGACACCACCCCAAAGCTGCCCAGCAAACTTCCTGCTGCTTGACATTCAAGCCTTAACCCAACACTTTCCACTCACAGCTGCGTGTAACCTGCATGCAGAGCTCTGGTATTGGTGGTACAGAACTCACAGGAATTCCAAACACTCAGCCCTTGTCCTCATGAACCGTTTAGTTTGCAGGCAGGAACTGCAGGAAACCTAATTCAGGACTTTTGTACACACAGGCAACACCTCCTTAAGAGAAAGCACCAGGTTCTGAGCAGATGAGCAGAGTTTGACAAGCTCCCTTCTCAGCAAGCAGTCACTTTCCAGCTGACTCTGTAATGCCATCAGTTCTTAACTAGAAAAATGTTTCTGCATCCAATTACCTTGTTTGAAGGGACCAAATGAGCCTCTCTGCCAAGATACCCTAAGGAACCGAGTGAGGAGAGCTACAACTCCAGCTTATTCCTGTTCATGCAGAACCATTCACTGCTCACGCCCTTCCTTCAGCCAAAAGATCTGAGAATTGAGTCAGGGAAGGCTCTCTGAGCAGCACAGGTGTCTGCACCAGGGCTTGCACCAACTACAGGCTGATTCTGCAGAGCAGGACCCTGAGCCAGAGCCTCAGATCCCTGAGGGTCTCAGTGGGGGAAGCGTCAGCACCTGAAGCCAACCCGGACATCTAAAGCCCCCCAGAACTGGTCACCCAGGCTCAAAAACGAGCCTAAGAGGCTGCTCAGCTAAGCATGGAGCTGTGGTATTCCAGCACTCAGGAAGTTTGGAGTTGCTCTAAGGATTTATCAAACCAGCCTGACTGCAGCATCCGCTCAGCTGATGCACGGCAGAGAGCAGCATCTGCTACGTCCCAGGCCACCTTCCACAAGTGGTCCCAAAATTCCACCACTGTTCAGAGCCGCCCTTCAGGAGCTGAAGGCTGTGCTTTGGAGACTGGAAGCTCGTTTCTTTTGTAACTCGTGGCATTTTAGCTCAGTTTGCCGACTCAGTTCCCTCCGAGAAGAAAAAGAGGAACCTCGTCTTGCAGAAACGAGTAGAACTGTAAAATTCCAAGCGTTTTTCTCCGAATCCCGTTAGACTGAATTGATGTGAACGGTGTCACAAGCACCTTTCAGGCAAAGCAGCAGCACTCCGGGAGCTCTGCAGACCTCACCAGAGCCTGCCAAAAGGGCTGGGGCACAGGTGACCGGGAGGCTGCAGCACAGCCCCGGCAGCTCCAGGGAAGGACGGCCGGGATGAGCTCCCGGGACAGCCCGGGATGAGCCCCTCGGACCGGGCGGCCCCGCCCGCGGCTCCGCCGGACCCACCGCCCGCGGGGAGGGCTCGGCGGGACGTCCCAGCGAGCTCCCCCCGCCCGCAGCACCCCGGAGCCTCAGCGTCCCCACACCATCCCCACACACCGCCTCCTGAGGGACCCGCGCCCAGCCCGCCCCGGGGGTGCCCGCCCGCGGCCCCCGCCACCTCCCGCTCGCCTCCGGGGCAGCCTGTCCCCCCCGCCGCGGGCAGGGCGAGCCCGCCCCGGCCCGGGGAGCGGCGGGAGTCGCACAGGGGGCAGCCCCGGGAGCGGCGGAGCCCCCCGGCCCCGCCCGGCCCCTCGCCCGGGCTCCCCCCCTCACCTTCCGCCATGTTGGCTCCGGCGCCGCAGCTCTCGCGAGAGCGCCGCGCTTTGGCGGCGGGGCGGGCGGCGCCTCTCGCGAGAGCAGCGCGCGCCACGGCCGCGCCCCCCACACGGCGGGGCCGGGACCGGGCTGTTCCCTGCGCGTTATCCCGGCTCGTCCCGCCTTATCCCACCTCAAACCGCTTTATCCCGCCTCTTCCCGCCTCAAACCGCTTTATCCCGCCTCTTCCCGCCGCTCTTCCTGCCCCGCCGCCGGGACCGGCCTCCGGGAGCCAGCCCCGCCCCGCAGCGGCGAGAAGCACCGTGCGCTTCCCCTGGCTGAGGCGCCCGGCGGTGCCGGGGATACCGTGAGGGCGGGGAAGGGACCGGCCGGGAAACCGCCCAGCCCCGGGGGAACGCAGCTGGGCATCACCTCCGCATCACCCCGGCTCCACCGGCACCGCCGCCTGCGCCGCTTTTATCCCAAAAAACGCTTGCTGCTGCTCACCCGGGGCCAGCGCAGCTCGCAGCCATCGCTCCTGTCATCGGCACTTCCAGAGAGTTCCTGCTTTTCTTTCGGAGGCAGCAGTCCTGGACACTGGAGCTGTGCCCCCCTGGGCGTTGAATCTGTGCCCCCTGGACACTGGAGCTGTGCCCGCGGACACTGGATTTATCCCTGGACACTGGATTTGTGCCCCCCGGCCACTGATCTGTGCCCCTGGACACTGGAGCTGTGCCCGGTGGGTTAAAAGTGGTTTTGAGAGTGGACAGCAATGACCAAGGTACCAGGATCATCTTCCCAGCACAGCTACCCCTCAGCTGTTCTCGTGGCTCATCATCTCTCCTGCTTACCTGGAGCAGAAAATGCCAAGATTTTTTTTTTTTTTTGCCTGCCTTAAAGAGCAAATTACAATTAAACGTTTGAAGACGTTATGCAGAGTATTGTTTTATAAACATCATTTTCTCTGGACTCCACCATGAAGGGACCTTTGAGGAGCTGCTCTGCATCGTGTTGGTTTTCTGTGCCAGCAAAACCAGAACTGGGCTCAGGAGAGCCCCAGACTGTGAATTTCTGGACATACCACAGAACAACCCCTCTCATTTTGCACAGCCTGATGCCAGCTGTGTATGGCTGTGCTGTGTAGGATATTACACCACTGCTTATGGTGTCATTGATCATTCTGAGGAACTGGAACAGCTATTGCTGCCTGATCAGATTTTGGTTTAATTTCTCGGTAACAAGAGAGATCAGATTTCAAACTACTGCCATGTTTTGCATCAGGGAAATCAGCCATCTCCTCTGAGGATCTGCCTGGGCAGGAAGGTGTCCTATGACAGTCTCTGTTTAAACCCCAAACAGCCTCTGGTTTGGTTTGAAATCACTGGTGCTGCTTCTGAAGAGGCAGAAAGGAGGAGACTCGTGGTGCTGCTCTGTGTGCAGGGATGGCACTGACCCAAGAGCAGGGCACCAGATGGTACAGACACAGCAGAGTCCACCCCCCACCGACCTCCCAAACCCAAAATACACTTCTAATCACTTCAGAATTCGTGTCCTCCCTTTATTGATTGCCCAGTGTTTTCTAGGCATCACAGCAGGAGGGCATTTCAGCCCAACAGCCCTTCTGATTTAGAGATCTTCTCTGATGCATGAGGGGCAGCATAGAGAAATATAAAAAAGGAACTAGGATGGCCATATTACTCTGGTGTTTATTAATATTTGATGCTTCTCCTTTCCCCCCAGTGATGCAGAGTTACCTGGAACACAGACCACTGTGTTGGGGGGGAAAATCAGCTCAGAGCCTCAACCATGATGAGGAGCCCCCCGAGAACCAGCAGTGTAACTGAGCACCCAGGATGGACAAACACCACAGGCTGGACAATCCAAACCAGACAGGAGCTCTTGGGGCAAGTGAAACCATGGAATGCTGGTTTGCCTGCTTGTTCCCCAGGTATCCTCACATTCCTTGGCCACACTGCAGCTCCTCAGGGGTGTTCCCATCTGGTGGGGCAGTAACAGTCACAGCTTGTGCCCCTTTAGTGTGGGGCAGGAATAAAACAGAAAGCCAAGTGTGATCACAGCAAAGTGAAACAGGCCCTTTCCAGCCCTGCCACAGCATTCCTACAACCTGCACACTTGGCAGCAGCCCCTGAGCTGCCTCTTTCCTTTAGTCAGTGGGCATCAGCCATCCCTGCAGCTTGGACAGCCTGACAGTGTCCCACAGGAACGTTCCTTTGGAATATCTGGGTCATGGGGAATCACAGACATGTATGTGAATAATTTACGAGGAGGGGAATGAATTCCAGTGCTGTGGAATTCCCAGCTCTTCCACAGCACTGCAGCAACACTGACATTTCCAGCCCTACCCCCTGAAGAACAAACGAGCAGCAATTCTGGAGAGCAAAGAGAAATAAAGCTTTAAAGTGTTTTGTGAAGTTACAGGTGAGTCTGTGGTGAACTCTGTTGAACTTGCTGAAAGCAGGAATTACCTGGAATTGTTCTCAGCTCCAGATACACTGGGGAAAGGCAGCCTGTGGGGGAAGAAATCCATTGCCAGGTGTAAGAAGAGCAGGTTCTTCCCAGTGTTGTGTTTGTGGGAAGAGTGGCACCATGCCACTGAAATTCTGCACAGTCCCAGCTCTTAAAGAAGTGGAAAAGAAACCTGTTCTCAAGCCATGGCCAAGTGCTCAAACAGGAATTCAGATCAGCTGAGGTGTCTGGGCACCAGTGGCTCTGCAGTGCTGCACATACAGGAGCAGGCTAGGCAATTAATAGCAAGTTTAACTAATGATTTCACAACATAATTAGTTCCCAAATATGTAAATGTGGATATTAAAAACATATCTATGTTTATCTAAACCACCCGTAGGAGGAAGTCATACCTTTCCTTGTAAATCCTCTTATGCTAAATGGCTTTTTTTGTCCTTTTTTTTTCCCCAACAAATGTCACCTCTCCCTCCACCCCAGCCCACCCCTCACAAAACCTGGAACAGGAGCCTTTCAGCACATGCATCTTGCCCAGCAACGTGAAATGAAGTCCAGCCAGCAAATTAGGACTGAAGGCTTCTTACAGGCTGCCTCTGCCACTGCAGCTCTTGATTTACTGGTGGGTTATGCTGGTCTGTGAAAAGAAAACAGTCAAGGAGTTTCAAGTTTTCCCTACATAAACGTTTCCTTGGTCAAAAGGCTTGGACAACTCTTGCCACTCTGAGATTAGTATTTGCTCACTAGAGGGCCAGAGATGGTTACAAGGGGCAGAAAGGTGTGTTTTGTTTGCTCTTTCATTGTTGAAGGTGAAGCACAGCATGTCAGACTCCTCAAGTGTTTGCTGGTGGAAGATGTTCAGGTAAGGGGAGGCTCCAACTGCAAGTACCTTTCCTATTTCCACACTCAAGACAGCCAGTCTGACACGTTCTTATTGGAAAAAATTATATTTTGGAAGAACTCACTACAGGTGACAGAATTCCAAAAATCAAATTACATGAAAATATACATCGTAATTTTCTTTGTACATCAGGGGAGGGAAAACTCTGGAGTAGAAGGCAAAGCAGATGAAGGGCCACAGAAGAGAGTAAAGGAAGGAGGGAAACTATTTTTGAGAGCAAACCCAGAAGTTAGTCATTTGAAAGCCTACAGATGTGCATGCTGGAACTCAACCTTGAGAAAAAACAAGCCTTCCCCCCCCAATCACACACACACCCCCCCCACCCCACAAACAGGCAATGAAAAAAGGCAAACCCCCAAATTTCACCCCTAAAAAGCAGCTCCTTCCTATCTCGGACTAACTTCGTCAAGTGAACTTCCAAGGGCAAGCACTCAGGTCCTTGGACGTTAAAAATCCCTCAGGCTGCTCAAGGGTGCTCCATGGCCACTTTTATTGCTATACCCAATTCAAGGAGGAGGAGTAATTGGGTTTAAAAAAGGGGTGGGAAGGGAAAAAAATAATATTAATAATAATAAAGCACCTTTGAGACTACAAAGGTCATCATAAAAGAAGACACAAGTAATTGATAGCAAATCCTTTCAGGGTTTAATTAGGAAAATTTTAAAAGTTCTGATGGGGGAAATAAAAGGGAGCACATTTCCAAAAACAAACCAAAAAAAAAAAAGATATACTAAACTTTAATAAGCAAGAAATTTTAATTAAGCCTCAGTGGGTCAAAGGAAAATTAAAGTGGGAGGGGAAAAAAAAAAAAAAGAAAGAAAAAAAAAACCAAACCCAAAAAAACAACTTTATCCTAATTGTTTTCAGTTTGACATGCTTCACAAGTTGTTGTTTGGTTGTTTGTTTTTTTTTTTAAACTCATAGGAAACAATGAATAGGGAGAGAAAAAAACCTGCTAAAATCTTTTAGAATTTACACAATTCTATTCCTACCTACTGACAGCATTATTTGGTACAATGTGTATTTGTGGATGTACATGAACAGTATATATATTATCCGGATCATGTTGTGCTATGTACACATCTTTACAATTCTTCCTGAAGGTTAAAGCAGTTCATTAGATTTTCAAAATGCGTAATCATCTTGTGTTGGCACTTGTTAGGCTCTTGTCAGCATTGATAACTGGCATGTTTTATTGCAGCCCAGTTCCAGCCAGTGTTTGCCAACTTGTAACAACAGAAGTCCAGCAATAGGTGGGTAGAGTGCAGGAAAAAAAACAGTGCCATGTTTCTCAATTGGAGACCTGCAAAGAGAGCACAGGGGTTCAAATGAAACCTCTCATCACCCTCAGTTGTTGTCACTGTATCAATTAGCGTTCCAAGCTCAAGAAGGTAACTGTTGCTTGTCTGAGGACTTGACATACCTCTGTGCAGATGGACAAATCCACACTCACCACCTGAGAAAGACTGCAGTTAGTTCAGCACAGTTATCCAAGCTCACCTAGCACCTTCAGGCTCCTGATCATGCTGCTTGTCAAGGGCAGGGTGTGCAAAGGTTGATTATTCACCCCAGGGCTGAGCAGTGCAGGTTTCTCACTCACAGGTCTGTGCAGCACTGGCTGAGGCCAAACTGGCACCAAACTGGCACCATAGCCCCCAGTCAGGCTGCCCGGGGCTGAAAGCAGCTGCAGTGACCCCTTCTCATCCAGCTCCCTGCCCATCCCTCACTTGGGAGGAGTCCCCAGGACTCAGAAAAGCTTTTGCCTTCCAAAAGAGCAACACAGCATTACTTGAAATATTTGTCACGAGCATTGTTTCCCCATGGCCAAGTTCAACATGGCAACGGGGCTGAGGTTAGCTAAGGATACTCTGGAGTGTTACTCACAGTTACTCCCTTTCTCCAAGACAGGAAAAAAAAGTCAGCTGCATTAACATTCTTACACTCCAGTTACAGGCAGTTGTACAAGACATTCCGTTCCTTTGCTTAGTCTTTTGATCAATATTGAGCATTTTTCATGCTTTATCTACACTGGAGAAAGTTCCATCAAAGCATTTCTGCAGAGAAGAGATCCTGCAGTACCAGTTTGTCACAGCTGGAGCCTTCCCCCCCCCAGCCCCTCAGTGCTTCCAAAAGGGTAAGAAAGGAACTCTCTCCTGTACAACCATGGTGGAAAAAAAACCCCCACAACTAACTAGCAGAAAAATTCAGAAAGCTCTTCTGCTTTTTCAGTCAGTACAAGCCCTCTGAACTACACCACAGTGCCATATTTCTGCCCCTGTGAGTTATATATGCTAGAGAACCAGTGAATATGCATTTGGGCTTCTCCAGCCAAATTTCATTTGCCAAACCAACCATTAAGAAGAGGCAGCTTCACCACAAAGCTCTGTTTGGCTTTGAAAAGCAGGAGTGGGAAATTATTAGCTCATGGAGGAAGTTTTCCCTTGGCATACCACAGATAAAGTGACCAAAGGCCAGGGATTTAAGGCCATGTTTTAATACAGAGCTTTCTACAAGAAGGTCATTAAAAGTCCCATTAAAACTGAGATGTGATTGTGCAAATTAGAGTGAGTATCTTGAGTCAGAAGCTCTTTAACAGGGTGGCATAAAATACAAATATCACGTCAGCTGCTCTCAGGTCAAAACTTGTCCAGGCCCTCAGAAGCAGCACAGTGCAGGTTCCAAGCAGAACACAGCTGTTTGTCTGAAGCTATTCCCAAGCCTTCCTCAGCAAATCTGCAAGTTCTGATGGCTCTGTTGGGGTTTCTTTGGCTGCTGGAAAGAACATCACCTTCCCTGATATTACATCTCAGCTCGATCCTCTCTGATGTGCCAGCAGACTGGGCACTAAAATTCCCATAGATACCTGGAGCAAACCCTCCTGAATGGCTCCCAGCAGCCACACTGAAGGCTTATTTAAACCCTGCATGCAACATGCAAGATAAACTGCAACTCCTGAGACAGCAAGAACTTTTAAGATGCTTTTAAAAGATTCTAGCAAGTGTTCTTCACAATCATGAACGTGAAAGAAATTATTCCCCCCTTCTATTACAACTCTTAATAAAGCAGGATGAGTTCTGATAAAGAGAAGTTCAGCTGCTGAACAGCATGAAGTGCAAGAGCACAAGAAAAGGTCCCCAATTTTGGCAGAAGTCAACTGCACTCAGTCCTTTCAGCCCTCAGCACTGCACACAGCCAAAGAGCTCCACTGAGACCATGCAGCTGAGAAGAAAGGGTTGGGGGTTTGCTTTTTGCTTTTGAGGGGAGAGGAGGGGAAAATGGTTCAGCAACACTCAGGCAGAAAATCCTCAACTCAGGGAACTGGCTGGGCTTGGCTTGAGAAGGATACTTACCCTGAAAAAAGTGAAGCTACTAGCTGCTGAATAAGTGTCACTCAAAAGCAGTTTCTTGGCTTTTTCTTACACAGCGGGCAACTTTTCTTTTAAATTCTCCATTTCTGTCTTCTCTCCATTCTTTCTGTAATTGAATAGACAGCTTTCAGATGTCAGTGCTACAACAACGCATGAGCTCTAGGAAGATTCTTGGGGTTTTCTGCTTTCAGACATTGGCCATCTAAGTCAACACCTCCATTTGCTTACAATCACTGAACACCTGGGACATTCAGGACTTTTGAAGCTTGCTCTGGGTGCTCACAAGACAGCAAGGATGGAACTTTTTCCTCTTGAATTTTACACATTCTCCAAGACTACAACTGGTGGCTGCACTAAAATCTATTTACTTCAGCCTGCATAGCAGCAGCAAACTCAACCTGTGGGCCACGAGCTGTTGTTATGGGTTAGAGATAATGACTTTAACTGCAGTGGTGAAAAGGGTTACTGTGGAGCCCGTAGCTAACTCTGGGATTTTTTTCCTTTTAGGACAGTTCCAACTCCCTGTCAGTCTAGCCAGGTCACTGCAGGACAGAAATACACAAGTCACAGTGCTCAGAAGAGGCCCAGCAGCGTCCTTAGAAAGCAAACCCCCCCTGGGCAGATAGGGCTGCAAGATCCTGGCTGGGTGAGAAAGACCTGAACAGAGCACTCAGCTCCCCCCCTGCTGCCCTCTGGGACTGGGGGCTGATGTCAGAGCAAAGATAAAGATGGACAGGAAGAGAGGGAAGAGGCAGGTCTGATCCAGAGATGCACACACATCAAGGGGTCACAAAAACCTCCAGGAGCAAGTGCAGCCAGATTTCCCTTTTTTTTTTTTTTCATTCTTTTTGTGCCAGGCTCCCGATGAGCTCAGATGAAAGCACAGGAGCCTCAGGTGTGGTTAAGATTGACATGCTGGGCACTGCCCCTCAACCAGGAGGGGGGGCAAAATACAAAGAACCCCTTTTCCCATCAAGTGCCACAGTTCTTAGTCTCTGATATAAGCAATATATTCTTACTGCAGGGGTGAGGGAAGGGGTCAAACCCCCCCCATTGTTTTGCCTGATGCAACACACACCACCTTTTCACCCCCTGCTTGGAGTGAAGGTTGGAGTGAGAGGAAAAAAAATTTAGGATGACTGGCATATCTTACCACATTAATCACCTCCAAGCTCACTTAGCCAGTAACCACACTGGAAAAGCCCAGCACATCTCAGCTTCCCGGTGCAAGCACAAATAAGGCTACTAATTAATTTGTTCTTTTTCAGCAATTCATGCAGCAAGCATTTGGTTCCTTGGACTGGGACACGGGACAGCTCACACAAGGTGGCTTAAGGCCAAGAAAAGCTTTGAATTGGTGCCCTCTGAGCTTCAGAGCCTCAGTTTTTGTTTCTAGTTCTGATATTTGTAGTTCTATGAAGTGAAGTGCTCCGACTTGAACAGCGAGTGAAGTTTCCAATTTGACAGCTACATCTCTAAAAATGTTCTATTAGGTCATGACCTGTTCTGTTTGCTTTTCAAAGTATCTATTCAGGTTCCTGTTCCTCACTCTTCTCCCACTCCAAGAGACCCCAACATGCACAGTTCATTTTCCCAGGAGGCAGGTACATCCCCTGCTCCTGTAATGCCCTGAGCTGCCTCTCTAACACCTTCTTCTCCAGATTCATTTAAAACTAGAAATTAATCACAGCAGACAAAGTATCTTTTAGTAACTGCCAAATTTTATTGCTGCAGCAAACACAGGAGCTGCTGATTCTTCATTACCCTGATGAGTATGTTCTGGTTCATCTACAATCCAGCAGCAGAGGCCAAGCTGCTCAAGCAGCACATTAAAAGTTCCTTGAAACATCTCATACCACAGGCAGAAAACCAGTTTCTAGCATCCAAAGTGATGTCTCACTACTGTCTTCACAGTCAAGAGTTGGATTTATGTTCTTTCAAGCTGGGCTAGAAAATGCTGTTTTCTTTTTCAACCTCTGCCCTAAGGTTTAGGTAAAACCAATTCATAGTTTTGTATCTAACTTCTCTGAGGAAAAAAGAAAAAAAAATTACAAAAGAAGTCACTCCTGAAATAGTTGTCAAGAGTGGGGCACAATAAAAAAAGCTTGTGATGTCAGGAAGGTAACAAGGACAGCTAAAAACACCTGATTTGTCCAGGGTTAGGGCAGCTACATTCAACATGCATCAGTTTGGGAACTGAGGGATTCTAATTGCACTTCCAGCATTTCATTAACCACTTGCTCCTCCCAGTGCTCTCAGGTTTGCCAGCATGAAATGTCCATGTCTCCTGGGTCTCTGTTTCCACCAGTAACATGACACAACCAGGGCAGGTCCAACACTCAAAAAATGTTAAATGAGGACATTTTTCACTACAACTTTGTTTGTTTTCTGTTTTCTCCCCATTGAATTTGTTCCATGTGAGTCTGTTCCCAGGATGATTTTTCAGCAGAGCTCAACCACCTTTGGAAACACAACATGGCAGATCAAAGGCTCCAGGAAACTCCCAAACTCCCACCCACTTTGGGAAGGTCCAGCTGGGTCAGCAGAGCAGGTTAACATTCCTCTGGGAAATTCTGCATCTTCCAATCCCCAGCTAACCTTGTCCTCACTGCTACAGGACCTAGAACTTCTCTCTGGAGAGAGGACAGTGCTCATTGGTCACTGCTGAACTGCATGTGTGAGAGTAATTCCAAGGAAAGCACGTTGGTGTCTCTGGGATGATTGGGGCCTGCAGTCTGTTTTCCCTACACCTTTCCAGCACTGAGAATTTTTTCCCCCTCCCCATCACCTTTATCAGCCCAGTTGTTACTCTGCTGTGAAGGCAGCTCTTCTGGAGAGCTGATGTGTGTTCATACACCCCCAGAGCACAGGCCAGGCTGCACAAACCCTGTGCTGCACCAGACACCTGCATCTCACCCCTGCAGCTTCACCCCAGCTTCTGACTGGAAACCAGACCATCCTCCTCACTCTCAGCCAGTCTGCAGGGGACAACCCTTCCTCCAGAGTGGAAGGCCAGATGCCCAGTGAAGTTTTCAAGCACATTCTCAGAACCTACTCCAACCTACTGCTCTGATGATCCATGAGGCAGGAAAACTGATATGGAGAGGTGCAGGGCTAACTGACATCATTTCCCAACAAAAAGATAACCCCAGCCTGCAATATGAAAAGGTTCTTCCCAAGTCACTGTTTATCAAACCAGAAACAAAGCTCCACTGCAAGGTTTCCACACCAAGGCCATCTGCAGCCCGAGCAAAGCCTTACCGCTGCGTCAACGTTAGCAGGAGAATCACCATTGGGATCTGCCAGCATAGAAATAACACTAATCATGATGGTTTCCACCGTGTGAATGGGAAGCCAGCGTTCCTCGGGTTTCTCATAGCCATATTTGTCTTCCCCGGGCTCGTGGAGGATTGAAATGCAGACATCGCCGTTCTTGTCAACTGCAAAACGCAACAAGGCATATTTCAGTGGTGAACAACAGCCTGGCACCCCTTCAGGGCTCAGGGAACTGCTCCTCCTCACCCCAGCCACTCTCAGACACTTCATAAAACAGGACAGTAAGTGTTGCAGAGCTGGGGGGAGCTCTGAGGATCCCTGGGCTGGGGGCAGAGAGAGCTCAGTTCTAACCACGCTGCAATTCCACAGCCGTTCATTTACACAGGCTCCCACCCCAGCCTTCTCTGTGAGGTTCAGCAAACTACAGAGTGACCTTTTTTTTTCCCCCCCAGCAACAGCATCATGCAGATAGCCCTGGAACATATTGGAATATGATTTAAACTGCTGGAATTAGAAAGTGCCTGACAAGTACTCTGGTATTTCCAGAGCTGAAACTGCCACAGCATCAAAATATCCCCCGTCCCTCACGATGGGAACACTGTGCTGCTCTCCTCCCAGTTTTCAACATCTCCAGTTTCTGAGGCTGAAGAGCTTTTCTTCTTCCCACTAAAACCATCTCCCATTTTATTTTACCTTCCCATCTACGTCCAGCAGTCCACAGGTAAGGGAAACATTAGGAGGGGTCTCCTCTGGAGGGACTAAAAGATGCTGTGATTTCCTTTCATGCTTTCCCAGAGGAGGACAACCTTGGGCCCTCTAGAGTGAACTGCCAAGTCAGCAATACCACGATGAAATACTTGAAGGTATAACAAAGGGCAGCTATAGAAGTCAAGCTTCTCCTCAGACCCAGAATTTTGCATTCAGGAAAAAAATTAAGGGGGGAAAAAAAAAAATCCCTGAACAGTTACCAAGAATGCAAGAAACTGCTCTCAACAGCTTCTGAAAATATTTTAGGAGTATTTTATACTCTCAGAGCAGCCCTGTTAAAAAATCTGCCATGGTTATTACTTCTTTATTAAGTGAAGATGGCAAAGTAAAAGCAGAGTTTCACATTTCTAACAAGAACAGAAATGTACCCATTTGTCTTCTCTGCATTTTAGTCCTTAACTGCAAAAAGAAATTGAAACTTTGACATTTCTTACCATTTGGATGCCAGATTTCTGTGATGAATTTCATTTTTGGCGGCCTCAGTGGGTAGTCTTTTGGAAAAGTAAGATGAGCCTTGAAAACACCACCTTCACTGGGGAATCAAAAATATCTTAGTAGAGTTTCTTGTAAGCTGAAGATTGGAACTTAGTGATGTATCAAAAGCTCTGAGTTTACCCCTCACACAACTGAACATGTTGGTAATTAACAGCACCAACACTTCCATGTGCAATGTGGAGTTTCTAGATTGAGAAGATCCTTTCACAGGATCCTGCCAGTTCCCCAACACTATCTTTTTTAGAACGAGGGATGATGTTCCAGAGGGGAAAAACCACCCAAAACCATCACAAAACTGCCAAGGAATTCACCATCTGGAATCACAACTTACATTTTTCCACCCAGTACACTTATTTACAGGGGGAAAAAAAAAAATATTGCCAATAACTGCCCTTCTCAAGCTCAGCCCAGCTGACACTCATTTTCTTCCTTCAGAGAGCTAATTTTGTGGTATCAGCCTGCAGCAGTGAGCCCCAGTGAAAAACTACTGAGAGCTTTAGAGCTGTGTCCACTGCATTAAATGGGAAAAAAAATTCCAATGCCACCTTTTCCACACTGAGCTAAAGGGACTCAGACATGACAGGGAGGTGTTCTGCATTGCAGTTACCCACTCAACTGGAAAACAACAATAAACACGAGGACATCCAGGTTTTTATGTGGATTCAGAGGCCAGGAACAGCCCCTTTTGAAAAGTGTGAGGGCTTGTTTTGAGGTGGAAAGCTTTGCAGATGGAACACTTTGCTAATGGAACTACTACAGCAGCGTTTGCCCTGGTCCTGTCATCTCTTGTAGTTGAAGTTTGCAACAGGATTTGAAATTGCAAAGGCAGGGGTGACAAAAAGTGGGCCATAAACCTGCCAAGAAGGTGGCACAGGATGTGCAGGGTGTGTGACAAACTGCTCCTCAGCAGCCAAAACAACTGGTGTGGAAAACTGTCCGGTGCACATTTTGTTTCCTGGATTTATAAAGCAGTAAGAGCCAGCCCCCAAAGCTCACAGGCTGCTGGGAAAGGAACAGGTGTTACCACCACTAACCAAAGATGTGCAATTCTAGCACGTGTCTCAAAAAAGGAAAAAAAAACCCAACACAACAGCCCCAAAAATCACTGGATCTGAGTGGCTTGGCCCTTGAAGCAGCTGAGGGGGATCTGAACCCACAGCAGTCATTTTTCACAGGTTTTAGAAAAGGCAGGCAGGCAAAGAATCCCTCATCCTGGGAAGGGTAAGAATTCCAGAAATCTGGGCTATTTTAACATCTATAACAGTCCAGACTGTGATAGTGTGTTGTATCAACATTTGTTGATAGCCTCAATATCAAGTTAAATGCTTTCTTTCAAAGTGAAAAGGTCCTTCTTTCCCTTTTTAAAGAAGCAGGTCCTAAAACTGCAGGGCATCCCTGGTTGCCACATATCAACTGCATATAAATACAGCTCTTAAAGTGGATATCCATTAGAAATCAGTTAATGAAGTACAGCTGTCAATTAAGGGAGATCACTGCCACTTCTAGCAACATTCCTGATAAAGGGGTTTGTCAGCAGAGTAATGCACTGAGTCTAAAGTCTTTGGAAATAAACTCAGAATAAATAAAGTGGGAGCAGGAATGAGACTTAAATTTGAACACTGGTGAAGTTTGACTGTTATGTTCCACTGTCCTCACCACACAGCCCAGGCAGGAGGGATTCAGTCTAAAACCACCCTGAAAAACAGCAGCTGGGGACTGGAATAGAAGAGAGCTTCTTATCTAAAAAGCCTCAAAAAAAGCTCAGGACTCTAATGAAGTGGGAAAAAAAAAAAAAAAAAAAAAAAAACAGTATTGCAATTTTTAGCCCATAAGATGATGTTGAGTTAGAAGCAGCATTTCTTTACTGACAGTATTTATAAAATGGCCACGAGAATGTAACAGCACCACTCCAAGACTGTTCAGAAAAGGTCAAGAGAAGCTGGAGAAATCATCTCATGCAAGATGTGAGAATCACAGTGTAATGAGCTTGAGCAAAAGCAAAGCAACTTGATTACTGGGCTGAAGTATTTCTTCAGAAGGCTGCAGACAAGAGATACACAACTTCAAGCTGGGACCAAAAGTGACCTCAAGTAAATGTCACTGGGCTTTTTGTATCAGTAATTTACCACTGCAGCAGCTTAATGAGGGAGAACAGAGTTCATCTCCTGGGTAGATGATCACCCTGAAGTACTCCAGGTCTCAGCTGGAAGTTCTCCCATCTCAAGCTGACAGCACTTGAGGCTCTCTGGACTCTGCAGTTCCCCCAGCTCCATCAGCTGCAGGACTGCCCTGCATCACCAGCACCAAGCTGCAATGACCTCACACTGCACTGTCAGCTGAGCTACAGCCTCCCTGCACAACAGCAGAGTGCACTTTACCTGCCCTGCTCACATGGGAGAGGGAACAGAAGCTGCCTCTGAGGACACCTGTTCTTTCTCTTTTATACAACAGGAACAAAGGGATCAGTGTTGCCTCTTCCCAGGGCAGCAAAACACTTTAGAACTTCTCCAGAGCAAACCCAGCTATTTACAGAACACCAAGATCTGGGTTAACTTCTATTCATCAGACCAAACTAGGACTAGTAAAGCCGAGTTCACCCAAGTTTCTATAAAGTGTCAGTACTTACTATAGTGTATCTGGAGGGCCAATAATGAGGACTTCCCATCGGTACAGATCGTTATCATCTATCAAGCCCGCTGAAAATCCTTCCACTGGATTTTTGTTGAGCTCTGTGTAGGAAAAAGAAATGTCAGAGTAACTTTAGGTGTCTGTGAGATGCATTTGCTGGTTTTGCTCGTGCCTCTGCAGGTGACCCCAAAAACCCCGGGATATTTGGCCCTTGTGGCCTGGGGGAGCTCCCTCAGCTCCCATCAACACACACACCCCCAGTCTGTGCCTGAGCCCAGCCCAGCTCGGACTCCAGAACCATCCAAGCAGGAGCAGAAGGGCCAGAGCAACTCACACGGTCTCCTAAACCACATCCCAACAAGTGTTTAAGCCAAGAAATAGGTTTTCTACTAATAAAAAACCCACACTGTAAGAACCCCAAGGAGGCAGCTTAAAGTCTGTCTTTAACTGCACAAAATGTTAACAGAAGACCAAAGTCACGCTGGGTTGTTTTTATTTAAAAGTAACATCCTATTTTCCTTAAATGAATTTTTTTTCCAAAATCTGACAGCGTTTGAGACCTGTGCCAGTGAATTCTAGAGATAATTATTTACTACATTCTGAACTACAGAAGATAAGCTGTTTTGCTGTTCAATGTTTGTGGGGGGTTTGTTTTTCCTTTTGTTTCACAGTTTTATCCCCTAGGGATAAGCAGTACAGGATTCTGAGTGCAAAGACAACTGCCAGACAGAGGCTTCTCTGGAAACAGCCATGCAGAGGTCACACCTAGATGGAGACTCCACTGCCTGCTCCAGGAAAAAAAAAACCATCAGATTTGGAATGAAACACCTCAAAGGAGGAAGTTCTGCCTAAAGATCCAGCTGGGGTGGGGAGAACATCTGTTCACTGACAGCTTCAGGTAAAAAAAGTACTTTAAATGCCAAATTGAAATTCTTCAGGCAGCATTTGCAACAGTCCTGATGGATCTTGGGTATTTAGGAAAGGGGAAGGTGGGGAAAAAAAAAAAGTTATTCCTTCAACTGGCCAGTAATTTGCAGATGAAATTAGTGATGTTTTGTCTTATAATTGCATTATACAGTCCCCATTGTTCTGTTCCACAGCCAGTTTGTGTGCATATTCCCACTTGGTAAAGCCAGTAGCTGTATTTTGTGCAGACCCCTCAGCATTACAGGCTCAAGTTCAGAGGGACTTGGAATGTCCTCAGGTACAGGCAGAGGAACTTCAAGTGAAAACCTCCATTTTAATTCCACACTGATCTGCCCATAAGTCTTCAGTCCCTGTTTGCCAATGAAGTCATGGTTAAAAAAGGCAGGAAGAATCGATTCAAGCCCTGCACAGAGTCTGATCCACACAGGGAGGTTCACATGGAGGACCAAAGTCCTGGAGAGGCAGATACCAGAATATCGACTTTGCCTGGTCATTGACAATTCACAGCCAAATTCATCCACAGCCAGGAGTCAATGCTAAAGTCCCAAGGAATGCACTGAAGGGGTTTTACTGGGAGCTACTCAGAGGCTTTTAGTCCCTAGGTGAGGTCAACCATCCACCCCCCAAAGTGCAGGACAGCGACCTGGCTACTGAACCAAACCAGGATTACCCAGACAGTGCCTGAAAGGAAAGGCAACATCACAGGCTCTGTAACCAAGACAAAGCTTCAAACCCCAGAACTACAGCACAGCCACATCTCCACTGAGCAAGTCTGTTTTCACACCTTGTGGAAACAGCTGCATAAGCAGGAGGGACTGTTCAGTTTGAGGCAGAAGGGACAGATGGACCAGGCAAGTGTCCCACGTTAAACCAGAACTTCCCCAGCCCCTTCCCACAGACACTCCTTCAGCAGGGGAGATTAAAAGTGCCATCACATTAGTAGTTGAACATAACCTGCTTTTTCAAGTAGGATTTTGTTTAAAAAAAAAAAATTGCTTGTGCAAAAAAGCCATCTCTGCTCAGGACACTCCTGGAATCCTTTCAGATGTTCTATTGGTGCTGTAATGCAGAATATCCACTGTAACAGCTACAGAAGTCAAAGTGCAAACACCAGGTTTGAGTCCTGTAAAACACAAGTCCCCTCATTTCTGCGTTTCCACAGGGAGAAAAGGATTTGTGCCAAGTTCTGTGTAAATGCTCTAACTCAAGCTGCTCATGGTTAGCTTTATTGTTTGCAAGTTATCACTTCTCAGTGATAAAAACTTCGAAGGAGCCTGACAGAAAAAAATCCAGCATTCTTCTCTTTAAATATGCCAGGCTATTTTCAAGCATTCCAACATACGCATTTTTTTTTATAATTCTTAATTTGCGCTATTTTAATTTCTTTTTATATCTGTCTCAGCCTCAAATAACTTTATCCTTAAGCAGTTTGAAACATTTTTGATGTACTTATTCCCAAAGAAAGACAGCTCTTACCCTGATTAATACCTAGGACTGTGCAAGGAATAAGAATGTTGGTGCCAGCTCTTAATTAATTTAAAAAAACATCTAAACTGGGTGAAAGGGACGGTCATTAAACATCTTCAGTTAATGCAGTTAAAGAAGTTTGTTGCCTTAATAAAGCAAATGACCACGTTAGTGCTTTTAAAGCAGGTGGCCTCAGTCTCTGCTTGGGAAGAGGTTCTTTTCCTTCCATGGCAGCAATTCTGACCCACAGCTCAAACAGCTCTGCCTGCAGAAATCCTCTGAGGTAACACAGGGGCCATGAGTTCACCCACCTTCTCCATGAGAGGTATCTGGAGTTACCAGGGGCAAGTTCAAAATGGGCTTTTCCATCCAGATTATTTGTGCTAAACTAAACATCAGGGCTGGTCATCAGACAAAAAAGGAAGTCTCAGGAAAGTTTTGCACTGGGACATGAAAAACATCCTCCTTGGCTGCTTTACCATGGACAGCCAAGAGCTGCTGCTCATTAAAACATGCCAACGAGGCAGGAGTTTGTTTGGGTTTGTTTTTATTCCCTGGATATGGTCAGTGCTGCTCATCAGAAGAGTCCCCTGAAGTCCCACCTGTCTCCTGCCTATCTCCTCACTAGCTGAGACTCAGACAGTGGTGAAATCCATGCACCAAAATCCCAAATCAGCAGTGATGCAAACGTGGCAAGAGAGGAACACACACACACAGCTCAGTGCCACGGGGCTGGTGCCAGGCAGGGACAGAGCAGAGAACACAGCACACCTGCTCCCTGTGTCCATCAGTCCCTCCCTGCAGCCTCAACAGGGGCTTTGCCAGACACACAGAGCATGGATATCCTTCATAAAGCAAAGGATACAATTCCTTCCTCCAGGCAGGGAGAGGGGAACAAGCTCTTGGGGCAGGTCCTCTCCAGAGCCCTGCTGAAGAGCTGCCCTCCAGGTCCCAGAGAAGCCAGACACCCATAAAGAACTGCAGCACTCCACATTATTTTTCCAACATTTTTTCTCTGAGATTTCCTCCTTAGAAAAATATATCCAGTACTTTTTAAACATAAATGAGTACATCAACACATTTCCATCAAGCCCATGCCTAAGTAAGTGCCACTTACTTGCTACTAGTATATATTACACTCTGTGGTTTAGCATTTCTGCCAGTATTTTCTGCATTTCTGATTGTTTAATATAACATATTATATAACAGACATTTTTCTACCCAGAGGAAAAAAAAAATAAATTCTTCCTCTCAGTGCAGAAGCAGTTCCAGGTAGAGCCCTTTGCAGAGCAAGCAGCAGCTGACAGCCAAAGCAGCACACACCTGGACAGCTGCCAAGCACCAACACGCTTGGAACAGAACCCTGTGTCTGCTTAAAAATTAGACATGCAGCTCCTTTAATCCCAGTCCTGAACCTGGGATTAAATCCAAGACCTCATTTGGGAGGTGAGGAAGACTAAAGGGCCGTAATCCAACAGAGTTAAGTCCAGAAGAGACTTTAAGGTCCCCTGGCTCCCCTCACACATGATGTGCCACCCAACACACCGTCCCTTTAGCTCCGACTGAAGCACAGCTGAGTTACCATTGCCCTAAACCTGAGCCAGCACAGAACCACGAGCCTGCCTTCCAGTTTCAGGGTCTACTTTCCATCAAGCTGATGTTCCCACACTCATAAAACTGCCTTTATAGAAGCCAGGAGACCTTCACTAGTCCCAGAGCAAAGCAGCAGCAGTGACTAAGCAGAAGGAGCCCAAGGAGCAGCTATGCCCGGCATCCCAACTTGCCAGCCTGACATCTCCCCCAGGCAGCCACTGCCCAGGAACACTGCAGGGGATTTTAAGCTCCATTACAGCACAAAGGTTTCAAAAATCCAAGTTTCTCTGTTATTTTTAACAGCAGCCTCTTCAGTAAGTTACTCAGTGGTGGAGTTTTGTGCAGCCCGTGGATTGAGTGCAACACAAAAGCAGAGCCTGAAGAGCCCAAGGCCTGGCTTAGGCTGCTGGAGAGATCCCCTGGCTGGCTCAGCCAGCTCTCACAACAAGCAGGCCACGGCAGCACTCACATCTGCTGTACATAAGGCCTGGTTTTGTCTTGGTTGCTTTTTGTGAGGCTCAACACTAGTCCAGGAGCTTCTAACAAGTGTTCAGACTGGAAAACCTCTTCCCAGACCCTTCCTGTGTGAATCCCAAACTGTGACTTTCATACAGTTCTACTTCACTGAGGGCAGTTATGACTTCCAAGACTCTGCTGCCTGCAGAGCCAGCCGTGATTCCCTGATTCTGGAGCACTGGGGCTGAGATGATACAGTAACATGATCTCCCTGCACAGATGTATTCCCCAAGCTCTCTCTATTACCTGCTTTCATCATGTTCTGTCTTGCTCCACAAGCTCATCCAAGAAGTTCAGACAAAACACAGCATAAAATATGCACACACTCCTGATAGCCACCGTGGGAGTGACAAATACAGCAGCAATTAAGACAGAGCAGCTTCAGTCTCAGAAGGACATAGAGATCATTTTGGAGGCAGACAAACAGTAAAGCCAAACCTGCTGTAAGAGGAGATTCCACCAACCAGTTCAGTAGTAGCTTTATATTTGACTCTTAACTTCAGCCTGGCACCTAATTCCTAGTGCTCCATGTGTCACCCCCTCTTAGTAAGGGCAGCATTTCAGACTTCCACAAACCAAATTCTCCTCTCAGCTCAGA